TAGATACTTCATGTTCAGTACCTGGAATGGTCCATCTGAAACATAAATATTGACCAGGAACTGGAGTACCAATTTTAGATCCATCAACAGGAGTGAAGTAAACCGACTTAACATCGGCACATTCATCTACAATCTTGGTAATCTTGAAATCCTTAAACCAACGCCATGGTTGCTTTTTGTATTCTTCAGCTTCTAAATCGATTAACAATTTAGCTAAGTTACCGTATGCGGTTGACCAAGCTTCCAAGAAGGCTTCGTTGGCGACTTCAGCAGGTAATAATTCAACCATAGTTTGGATCAAACAAGTCCCGACAATAGGGTAGTGTTCTGGAAGAACTTGTAAACCAATATGTTTAATCACAATTTGTTTAACAAATGCAGTCAAGGGAGTCAAGTCTTGAATGTTCTTAGCATAGTTTAATAAAGCAAATGCTAAGATTTTTGGTTGTCTGAATTCTCTTTGATCAGTTTCGTTAAAGAAAGGTCTAACAACTTTATAAGTTCCAATCATACGTTGATAAAACTTTCTGGTTAAGGTTTCACCGGCTGCTTCCAAAATTGGAACGGTGTTTAAAATAATTTGAACTTGTTCTGGGGTTAATTCTTTGGATTCATAGTTGGCAGTTGGGATTTCTGGAGAATCGTCTTGAACTGGAGGAGCAGTAGCAGGAGTGGCCATTGTGAAATGTAGTAGTTGTTTCTTATAAGAATTGAACTAATGGAGAAAGAGAAGAGAAAGGAAAGAATTTGATGAAAGAATTGAAAAACTTGTTGCAATATTTATACTTAAACGAACTTCAGAAAATAATTTTGTTAAAAAATAAAAAGAATGAAAAAAATAATTATTTTTCAGTTCAGCAAGAGAAAAAAAAAAATCGTATGTTCACTCTTTACGGGGGAGCTTTACTGTAATTCCTAAGAGAACTTCTATCTCAGGAAGTTCATCCGTCTGACAATGGAGCTTCTCTATGCCGACTCATCAAATAACTCACCCATTGATCTTTAACAATGGCTCTCGGTAATAGAAGACCGTTCGTGTATGCTAAGGCTGTTTCATTCAATTCATGTGCCATGCAACTTCACGCACACGCACTGGAACATACCCGAAACCCAATCAAACAACACCAAGATGTAATAGGTACAGAAAGGGGGTCTGTTGACATGAATGTATGGAGAATAACGGATACAACTAATCCCCGTGTGCAGGATATGATTACTAATCATTTTAAGTAAATCAACCCATTTTTCACAATCAACGTTGATGGTTTGTAGAATTTCTCCGAAACAACAATAGAAAAAAAACCGTATGATTTTTTTTTTCTTCTTTGACACACTGAAATACAAAGGGCTTGAGCCAACCCCAGGAAGGTGATTGATTGCTGTAGGCGGTTTATAATTACTAAGCCACGTAGACATGCGATTAGAGGGGGGCTGTTTGGGGTACACATGAAGATGATACTCTGTTGCAAGAGAGAAGTATCTTTCGGTAGGAGCTTCCCGGAAGCATTATGGGTTAAGAGCATTTCTTACACTCTTGACTTGAAAAAAGAAATACTTAACGCCTTTTGGACATGTTGCTTTTGTTGAAAGGTTTGTAGGAAGGTAACTCTCTATACTGAAAATCAACTCCCTTACATGTACGATTTCGATGGAGTTTATGACTTTGTGTCATATCTCATTTGTAATCATGGTTAGATATCACCGAGCAAATACCTGACCATCCTACACGTTGAGTTTTCTTGAAGCAGAACCTTTCATGAGGAACTGAGTTTTAGGTAACGTAGCATGTTTCATTAAAGTACTAAAAGAAATTTAAAACGTTACCTGATTTGCGGGGCTTTTTCAGCTAATTCAATTGGTTAACACAATGTACGTTTTGCTAATTTCAGCCAATCGAACAGCCAATTAGTTTTAGATTTCTATTTCTCCTGATAATGGGGTTCCAATAGTTTGACATGTATGTAAGTGCCCCACTAAAACCGGGCATAACGGCAATTGGGGAATATGACATTGGGGAATATGACGATCTTGGTTCGTTGCTTGTTCCTTCACTATTACGTAGTTTCAATCGTTGGCAAAAGGGAATAGAGCTCAACAAGATTCCATTGTTTTTTCGAATGCATGCTTGAGCAGATACTATTCAAGAAAGATCGGCAATCATTCGCCAGTCATTTCTTAGTTTCAGGTTCCTGAATACCGTTTCTACAGGCATCCTTTCGGTGTTAATGCTTCACATTCAATTTCATCGTTTGATTTATTTTTAGAGGCTTTTTTGCAACATGTTTAAAAATAAATTTTAGATTTATTTTTTATGCACATCAAAGAGGTAACGAAAATTTCCGATTTGGAAGAATGCGCAGAAAGTTGCGTTATTTTACTTCAATCCCCCATTTTAAATAGCAGTCTGTAATAAGCATGACACCTAACCAATCTATGGTTCCGGATTTTTCCGATTTGGAAGAATGCGCAGAAAGTTGCGTTATTTTACTTCAATCCCCCATTTTAAATAGCAGTCTGTAATAAGCATGACACCTAACCAATCTATGGTTCCGGATTTTTCCTTACGTGTCTTCCACCTTGTAATAAACATAAGTATTATATGTTTTTGCGCTATCTATGCAGATTTGGGGACTTTGTCCACCAATTTCTTCAGAGTACCCAATAAACCTAATTACTTAACCAATTTAACCTTTCTTTTTTCCTCTTCTCTCTAGAACTTGTAAAATGTAACCGTTTTCCACGGAAATTTAAGGTCCCATTCGGCTTTTGGTTATGAGCGCTTGGGTCTATTCAAACTTCCATGCATGATGGCTTGAATTGGCCAACGGCTTGTGATCGCCTCGTTTGTGTAATCTTCACATAATTTTTTTGGAGCGGTAGTGGTTATTTGCTCGATCTTGGCTGTTGCAAGTCCAACTTGAGACATCTTTAAGGGTTTGTGTCAACAAAAACTTTGGCTGCAAAAAAATTAACATCAAACAATCTACAGTTTTGTCTCTACGAATAAACCCAGTTGCAGAGAGGATAAAAATTAGATGGCCTAGCCGGCTCGTTTCTGGAAATCTACAACTAAAATTAAAAACAAAATATATAAATAATAAACACAAGGGTAATATGACAATTAGCTTAATGATATAAGCTATGTTTCAAAAAAAGGTCTCACATAGTTCTCAGGTCTTGGAACATGAATCCACAAAAGCAAGCTTCTCAGTACGGGCATTTCTGTAGAAAAGGTGGCTACAACTCAAAAATAAAACTTTTAAGCAGGCTTCCTGGGACTGCGATTATGATCAACAGCAAGTCGATATTTCAGAATCTGCCATCCAATGAAGCTGACAATTACTCTACTTAGAATAAATTGGTTCTCTTCTTGTTCTATACCTTTCCAATACCTCCTGGGGTTTAAACGGAACAAACCCAGATCTTTTCCATGCTTTCACAATATGATCCTCCTGCAAAACCTCTTTACGACAAATATCATAAGCATGAATAACAGCATACCTGTTCAAGATATCATCACCAGTTGCTTCTCTTATTCTATTACACACCAACTCAAACGATCTTTTCAACGGTGAAGCAACTATATCCAGAGGTTGGGTAAAATTAGAAGTAGAGCGGTAAACATATAAGGGCCACACTTTATGTTCTTTTGCCTTCACTATAAACTCATCCGTAACGTAATTCTCCCTATCTGTGAGAACGACCAATCTCCATTCATTGGGGTCTGATGGTTGTGTCTCATTAATGAAGATGTTTTCGAAATAATGCATAACTTGTTTCTCGCAAGGACGTCCGTTCTGATTTATTCCATAACAGAAATTGGGTATGTTTTTTGAATCACGGTCAAACCATTTATCATCTAAACCGTCAGTTTTTAGGGTAAGCAAGGGTAAAAGGTATTTCCCAGTGGCGGAAATGATTTCAGTGGTGGTGAATATTTCTGGAAGAAGTCTCTCCTTCTGTGCGTCTAAATCAGCTCTAACTTCATAATTCAGCGCGCGGTCTAACATTTTAAAGAAAGTTTGGTCCATGCTGTATATATTCTCCTTTTTGATATTGAGACGTTCAACAAGCTCATGGAATAGTTGGAAAGCTCTATCAACTCCTTTATAACGTGGTCCACAATCCAATCTACTATTTGGTTTCTTGTTTAGCTTGTCAAAATCAATGGAATATCTTCCGCAGAATTCTTTTAACCATTCATCATCTAATGGTTCCCCCTCAAAATCACCTCTCTTCTCCATCAATTCGGTTGCATATTCTATAATGTGTCGAGCATAAACATCCCTGCCACTCGCATACTCGGCTTTGATCCAATCACATAACTCACGCTGTTCGGGCACGGTTATTCTATGCATTTCTAGTTGTATACGTGCTACTCTATTAATATTATCTTCACTATACACATCATAATTATCAATATCATCATAATTGAGAAGACTAACAGTGTAAGGACCACGATGGGATACTCCATTTTCTTCTTCTTCTTCTTCTTCCTCTTCTTCTTCGGTGTCGTCTAAGACTATAACTTCCTGCTCCTCCCTTATGGCTACAGCTTCTTGCTGTGCTAAATTGCTGTTATTTGAATGCTGCAGTCTTCTAACAGGAGGCATGCTATAATTACTACTGTATTTGGTTGCTTGTATAATCTACAAAACAGAAAGAACAGGAATCGGCAACGCGTTTGTGATTCGATTTATATTGATTTTTGTTTTACACTATGGGGCGCTGCCAGTTGTTATAATTTGTGTTAGAACACTGCCAAACTTAGAAGGAAGAAAATTAAATAACAAGAACCTGAAGCGGGAGAATGCTCTCCAAGAATGTTGCTATGTATTTATAGTATTGGCATTCTATATAATTAAATGCATGCGGCTCTAAAAGCAATTTTAGTACTTTTAAGGGTAAATCCAATATCTCCCTGAATCATAGCGCAATGGTGATTCTAGAGCAGTACTAGGAAAGATAATTAAGTTATTTGTTATCAAGACTATTTACATATAACATTCCCAGATTGTTTATCACCAATCACATTAATGCCCCAGAACCTCAACATCCGCTCTCGTTCTCGACACCTCCTCCTGATCCAACACCACCGAGGGGTTAAACGGCACAAGTCCTGTCCTCTCCCAACTTCTCAAGATATTCTCCTTCCTAAACATCCCCTTATGACGACAATATCCGTAAACTCCAGAAGCCAAAAATATGTCCAAAGTACTCTCATTCCTCAACCTATCACACGCCATATTAAACTCCCTCTTCAATTGTGAACCTAATAGATCCATGGGTTGGGTATATCCATGCGAATAGGGCGGGATGTATAATAACCATATTTTATTTGCGATCGCATGGGACATAAGCTCACGACAGCCGTATTGGACCTGTGGATCTAAGATAAGAAGTCGCCATTCATCGGGGTCGGTGGGTTGGGTTTCGCAGATGAATGTGTCATCAAAGTAATCGAGGAAGTCGGGTTCGATGGACCATCCATCCTTCGTGTTGCCATATCTGATTTTAGGAATTTTTCGACGATCAAACCATTCCTCTTCAATTCCTTTTCCTTTGTGAATGAGATGTGGGGTGAGGCTTTTGCCGGTGGTTGAGATTGTTTCATAGGTGGTGAAGATTTCGGGGAAGGCTGTTTCGTCTTGTGGAGATTTATGGATCCGATTGGATGCACTGTGATTGTGGTTGATATTTCCTTGCTTCCTGATTCTAAAGGTGGTCTCTTGCATGCTGTAGATGTTCTCAGGTTTGATATTTTCCCTGCTAACAGTATCATGAAATAGCTTGAACCATGCTTCCAAGTCTTCATAACTTGGTCGACCCCAATTTATGATTTTCATCTTATGATTATGGATGACGCTTAATCCAAGACTAGGATATTTGTTACTGAAATCCTTCAACCAGTTCTTATCTAATGGTTCGAAGACGAATTTCTGATATAATATTCTACTGGCACGTTGTTCGATTTGGGAACGGGTGAGTTTTCTTCCATTCAGCTGTTGGGATTTGATCCAATCACGCAAGATCATCTCATCTCTCGGGGAGAGTTCTTCAGGGGCTTCATCATTTGATTCATCCGCTGAGTTTAAACCCTCATCTTCTTCCAGGCTTGCCTCAGACTATCTGTTGAGCTTCCAATTACAGGTCTCCAACCATTTCTGATACTAATCTCATAGGGTTGAGGATCATATCGATGGGAAGGTTTGCCTAAGAAAGCATAAAGCATTCGCATTCCATTATAATATTCTTCCATTTCTCGTAAGTCTCTTTCAACATCTATCAGTTCTGAGGAATCGTATTCTGAAAATCCACTTTCTTCTTCCATCTCTGATTCTTCTTGCTCGTTCATTATAGACTCCATTGCCCGTCTTGTCTGCAGTCTTCTATTATGATTCTTGGTATTGGACTATAGTGCCTAATATTGAACCTACAATGAAAACAAGTGCAATCAAGACGCGTCGGTTTTGATGAAATTCTTTCTTGTGAATTGGCGCTACCAGATGAAGGCGCTACACATTTACAAGAGCACATTGAACAGATTCATGTACAGTATACTCTCAACATAATCTCATTAAAAGCAGGTAAATCATGGTATCAAAGAGAATGAATACAAAATGTATATATATACTAGACTAATTATGGTACATCTTAAAAATCCTCAATTTTGAAAACAATCTTCCCATCATTAACTCTCAAATCCTTAATCAATTCCTTATATCCATTTCTCCAATCACGATATCCCCCAATCCTAAACTTCATTCTCCCCGCCAACACCAACTCCAACGCAATCTTAGTCCATTCTTCCCTAATCTCCAATCCCATCTCTTGGAAATAATTATAGGGTGTCCAATTATTAAACAATCCCGAAGTGAATTTATTAGCCCAAGGGTTGAGGATTGGATTATCTAATTCGATAAGTTTGTCAATGTTATAACTTGGGGTTTCTAGGGTATATTTACATCCTGATATCATTGCCGAACCGTATTTTTTTGGTTTAAGTAATTTAACAAAGAATGGTTCCTTTGTTTTTCCAAATAATGATTCGAGTGAGGATGCTAAATGGGCTTTGAATGGGAGTGATAGGGAATCTAATTCGTTAAGATGGATATTGGGTTGGAAGTATTTCTTACAGCCGATTAAATCTATGAAATAGTCAAGTTTGTAGTCGACAACGTTTGATGGGTCGATTGGCGGGTGGTGGTCGATATCGTGGGGTTTGAAGAGAGCTTGGAAGATTTCCGTGGCTAATAAGGTCGGTTTTTTGTATTGGACGGGAATACGTTCTCCGGGAAAGATTAGATCTTCGTTGAGGAGATCGAATGGGATGACTGATATATGCTTTTCTGTGGATGGATCGAAATATTTTTGTTTGAAATTGGAGATAGCTTGTTCCATGAAATGTTGAGAAGATTCTCGGATTATGAGGATTAAGTTAATATGCTCGAAATTGTATTCCGCAAAGAGGGTTTGAATTATTGTGAGTCCAATATTTGTGTCTGCTCCATTTATTAATAAATTGGCTCGGTTTGTGGGTTGTAAATGTTGAAGCAATTGTTTGGATCGGTTATATAAAACAGATATCGTTGATAATTTTGCTAATGGTGGTAGTTTATCTTCAACCGGGAATTCAGTTCTACGACGATGTTTTGAAGGTTCTGGGATAATTGAAGGTTCTGAGTCTGAATCAATTTCAAAATCTTCATTTGCATTAGTGAATGAAAGATCGATATCTATATCATCCAATTGATCAAGTAATTCTTGATTAACTTTAATAGCCACATCTCTTCCAGGATAAACAATTTGATTCGTAGATAATGCTCCTCTTTTATCATTAGGATCTAATATACCAAATACATAATCATTAATTGAATATTTATCTTTCATATTAGAACCAACATATGCGACAACACCTGAGAATTCAAATCCTAAACCAACTTTAATATTACTTACATTTAAAAGATATTGATTGATTTTGGATAAATCATAAGAATTTAAAGAACCAAATTTAATATCAACAATTATGCTATTGGGGTTTGGAGGTAAATCAATTGTTGTATAATGAAATTGTAATTCAGTTTCTTTATTTTGAACAGAAATATCTTTAACATCAAAGAATTTCATTGTTGATAAATCGTTCAATAACTTTACCGGTTTAGCCTTGGGTTGACTCTCTCCAACTTGTTTCAGTTGAAGTAATGGTTTGGGCCCTTCTCCTAATTTCTTACGTTCTAAATAAGCTAATTCAACTGGGACTTTTTGAAAAGGATTTGATTTCTTTTTGATTTCTATTTTCTTTTGTAATTCTTGATGATGTTGTTTAAGATCTTCTGCTGGTGGTGGAGCAAATCCTACTGATTTCTTCTTCTTTTTCTTCTTGTCTGTGGTTGGTGGTTCCTCTTGCTGTTCTGATCGTTGTGACGTATCTTCTACTTCTTCAGGCTGTTGTTGTTGTTGTTGTTGAATTGGGTCATTCAAACCATTTGGTTCTTGAGTTTCAGACATTGTTATTTGAATTGATTGATTGAAATGTTTAAGTGATTTATAAATAGTACAGTACTTTAAATATTTCAAAATCAAGGGGTATGCAAGTAGTGGAATGGTTGTGATAATTATTTATTGCTTGACACTAAGAAAAAATGACAAGGACACCGTAAATTGCGTATTTCTCAATCCCCCTTTTTTTAGTTTATTATAAAATATTTCCCGCGCTACCCGGATAAAGAATCAACTATCATTTTTTACTAACGATTTGATTCAATGAATATTGACATCCATGTATGTTTTACAACTGGACAATCCTGGTAGATGTGTGTTGAGTCTTGTAGTATTAATTCGCCAAATGAAATTCGGGCTCAACCCATATTTGCCACGAATGTCTCATTACGAAACACTTATGGAGTCAACATACAAATGAAAACATTTAATCCGTATTGCTACATCAGAATAGAAGCAACAACTCCTATCTAGCTATCTGAATAAGAACAGGTATACATGATTTTCCTAACAGATATGAGTGAACGATACACTTCAAAATACCATGCTTATTCGGCTGCGTGTTTCAACTGATACTATTGTACCTCTAGCTTTGAACGCCAATTCCGACTGATTATAGTTGATTTATGTTTACTACGGTGTTATTGGACAGAAATACTGTGGTTTAATCACCTAAAGTGATCAATAAGGAGGAAATTACGAATTTAATTACCACAAGAATTGGTGTTTATATGTTTCCGCCTTTCCCTTTCTGCGTCGTTTGAAAGGGCATTTGAGTGTATCGGATCCACAAGCTGTCTCCAGCGTTGGGATAGTTTCGTCAATTATGGATTCTATATAATTACTGGAAAATTGGAATCGTCCCAGATTGAAACCGTATGATTAACCAAACTCAAGCACGATGCTCTAAGAATCAAAATTTTAGTCTCAATTGATAATACATCTCTTTATTGTGTTGATCCCTTCAAATAATATATTTGATTTATCCATTTGGTTATCAACTACAAAATAAAACTCTTTTTGCAATCTAACTAACATATTAATTATTTTTACAACCGAGAACGATAAGCGAAATTTTGTGCTTTGTTTAGGCGAGTACTTTTTCCGATTTTTCAGTAATTGGGTATTTTCGATTATTGGGTATACCCCTTTATAAAATAGTTTCAGCTATCAGATAGATTCACCCCCTTTTGTAATTGTCCAAGTTGTGTGACTGCTGACGGGAAAAATGTGTTATGATGGCAGAGATGTTTCATCCTTAATTGTCTTGGCTCTGTACTTAAAGTTTTAGGATAGTTTTATCGAATGTTACATGCCAGAATTACCTTGTACTCGTCATTTGGATGGCACCAACACTGTGTAATTCCAACGTTTTTGTAAAATCGAGCTGTAATAATATAAGGATATTTGGCTTCTCTTATTTACTCCCTTTGATTGCTATTTTAGTTTTGTATTCAGTGTTGGAGGTAGCAGAATTATACTTGTTTACTTACCAATTAGAAAATTTCAATGAGACTATTACGGCCTAAAATATCAACTTCAGCTTCTAGTGGATGTAATTTCAGAAGACGGTTCCATTTGTCTATAGCATTGAAGCAACTTTCAACTCCATCTTCGTCGTCAACCACCACGATCAAAAAGAAGTCCAGGCTGACAATAGAAGCAAATGAAAGACAATTCCGGATACCATTGGTTCCAGAGCGTATAATCCCAATAAATAAACATGATATAACCATCGACAATGAAAGTAATATTAAATTGAATTCACCAATTACATTGCAACAAGCTTGGAACTATTTCTATGCCACAAAACAGTGTCTTTCATTCGAAAAGAAGAAAGAAGTGGAGGCAGTTCGACGAAAATGGTTTGCAATGACCAACTTGATGAGAGAGGATATTAGACTAGCATATCAAGATTTGTTACAGAGTGGGAAGGATGTCTGGAACAAGCAACATGTGCATCTTAAATTAACATTGTCTGAAAACATTTCGGCACTTACTGGCGTTCGGTTTTCATTTAGCGATGATGGAAGTGGTAAAGTCATAGTTGACGATGAAGTTAATCTACACCATGCGGAGAAGTATTTCAATGAATGTGCCAGTTCTAGCATTGAGATCAGTAACAACGTCCGGTCCTCATTTGAGACTCTTTCCAATGAGGAAAAGCTAGCATATAGGGATGCCTACCTTGAATTGCTATCTTCTGGAAGGGATATGTACAATGGAAAGATTGTGCCACTTACAGGAACCCCATCGCAGAATGATGACCACCCATATATTGAACCAGATCCTGAAGAGGATATTGAAATCAAAATATTTAAGCCACAAAACCGTGCTCAGGTGTGTCGCTTTTATGTAAGCTTCGCTAGCTATCAGTATTTGCCCGTTGTCTACCGAAACTCTCAAGATCACTCCACCGTCGCTGCAGCGGCAGAGGCCATGGCTCAGAATCAGTATTATCTGTTTTCAGCGGCTCGGAAGGACCATTATAAGACATTATTCTTCGATTGGTATAGTAGAAAGAAAGTTTCATCAATGTCATCCCAGACAAACAGTAAGGGTAAGGCGGAAACAACACGTGAAATAACCAATAACGACGCTTTTCACTATTTCTGCCACCAAAAAAGTAGACAGACAGGGGAGAAATTCCTCTTGGCTTTAGGAGCTGCTGAATGGCGTAAACTTTCTGACCAAGAAAGGGACAACTACAAATCAGTGTATCAAAAGATCGTAGATTCCGGATATTGCATGCATAAATTAGGATTGATTCCAATCCACGGAAAAGAGTCAATTGCGAAATGGCCGAAGCAAACAATGCTGATGAAAACAGTACGTGGATACCACTACTTGAAGAGGTCTCTACAATTGAATAAATTGGATGAAGATGTCCGGGATCAATTAACAATAGAATGGAGTAATCTAGGAAAGTCTGAGAAAAATGCATTGCTTGAGGAACTCAAGCAATTGGTTTACGAAGGTAAGGGTGAATGTTCGACACCAGAAATGATTACAAAGATAGTCAATATTGGACGGAGCTTAGACTCGCAAACTGAAGGAATAGTGCCCACGCGTGATAAAGTAAGGCTCTATTACATCAGGAAACGATCAAAAGAGTTGTCCATTACAGGTTTGAGGCCCCTGGCAATCAATAAAATGGCTCTGAACGAGTGGAAAGAAATGACGTTGCAGGAATATGATAAAATTGACAGGGAGTATAGATCTAAAATGCCGTCAGAACTGCAAATTGATTCGACAGAGAAAGATGGAGGCAAAGGAAATTAGCCAACGAGGAGCAATAGACCACTATATACTTAGAGATGCCGAAATATAATCGTGGCCTTTTCTCTTTACATGTTTAATAAATGAATCTCTTTGAGAATGACTCTCAAAATCAAGCTCTTAGCTAGCGGGATGGATAATATTACATTGATAATTTCTCTACTGTTAGCTCCTAAAGTGAAGAATATCAATGCTTCGTAGTAGACTTACTCCTATTATAGGCTTCCGATCCTTGATTGATTTGGTTAAAGAATATCAGTACTTTGGCTATTTCTTCCAAGGATCCCTTTGCGGAAACTATTAGCAGCCTGTATTTTCATTGACAAGTAGTGCCACTTATTTTTCATCCAGATACTATTGGAGAGGTATCTATTGCTAATGTCTAACCCTCCTCTGAGATTCCGGCCATAGACATTCGTAATAGTAAGTGTTACAACAACATGGGATGAAGGCGGAATTATCCAAGACATAAGAACCTTATTCAATTATACTGTATATAGGAATAATATTTGTATGCAGTCTACTTCGCCACTTTTTCACGCACAATTTCTTACAACAATTTAATAGATTATCAATTGCTACACCGCTTATTCTAATCTAGATAACCCATAGAGACAAAGAGATAGAACCATAGGAACCATGTGGATAGGACCAGTCATATGTTATGTGATAACACTACTAATATCCCTAATTAGTATTCAATATCATATCAATCTATTTAAATATCCAATCTATTTTACAATACCAATTACATTAGCTGTATTTATCCCAATGTCAATTATCTTCTTATTACCAATGGATTATATATCACATAACACAACTGAACAATTGATATTGTTCAACTTGCCTGATAAAGCCATTTTATATATTTGGAAAATCAATTATTGGACAACTTTTATCTTAACTTGGTTAATATTACCTATGTTGCAAGAATTCTATAAATCTGGTCATCAAAAAGCTTTGGCTAAATTAAAGGATTCCATCAAGCAGAATATCAAATTTCAATTAATAATGTTGGGTGTTTCATTGTTGGGGATGTTTTATTTGATTTTAGAAGTTGGTATTACTACACTGCATTTAAAGATGATGATTATTGCGTTGTCGCATATTTATTCATTGATTATTGCAACTTGGTTAATGGGACATGGATTGATTAGTATCCCGAGGAATAAATGGATTAGTGGGAGTGTTATTAAGGAATTGAATTATAATTATTTGAAATTGCCTAAATTAGTTGATGAGTTAGAAGATATTAAGATTACTTTTAGAGAACAAGTATTAGTTGTGGTTGCACTAAAGAGAAATTTCACCAGTGATTCCGCAGAAGATTTCATGTACCGTGATTGGATACTTAAATTATATGCATCTATTCCGGCGGAGATCAAAGAAAATGTTGAACGACAATATCTTCATGAAAATACACAAGTTGATCGTCATCAATTGAATGATTCATTTATGACTAAATTAGATGCAAATTTTAATCTGAATTTACATCGATTTATAGGCTATCAATCAGAATATAACAACCTACTTTCAGCCATTATAAAACTTGAAGATATACTAAATTCAACCAGTACCAAAACCTTGTCATTCCGAATCGACAACCATAAAACCTTATTATCCCCTCGATTAAACTTCATCTATCACTACCATATCCGACCAATCTTCAACCGAATAACATCCATACTATTAGCATTAATCTCCTTTATCATCCTCCAATCCGAATTCTTCCATTCAACAAACCTATCCCTCCTCAACACCCTAATCTATTCCAAATATCCAAACATAATCCGATTCCTTCTATCATCATTAATCTTTTCATACATGTTATTCTGTGCCCTCAATTCCTTAACCCATCTCAAAATATTCAATGTCTATAATCTAGTGCGTCGTGACTCAGATCCGGTATCGACAAGTTGGTATACTACCTATATCGCCAGATTAACCATTCCATTATCATACAATTTCATAACGATGTTTGTATCCCGGGAACTGATTTTTGAGGATTGGTTTGGGAAATCAATCCATTTGACAGGGTTGTTTAATTTATTGAATAATTGGTTACCTAGACTCATCTTGATTCCGGTATTGTTGGCTATGTTTCATGTATATGAGAAATTGAAGAAACGATTAGGGCTCACGGGTTATGATTCTAGTTGGGCCGGGTTTGATGATGAGACAGAAGGGGAGGAAGGAAGTGGTGATGGCGGAGTGAAGAGGAATGATTTGATTATTGTGGAGGCGAAGAGGATTGTGAATCGGGAATTGGCGAGACGGGAAATGCAATTATTGAGACCATTTCAATTGGGTGGAACCAATGAGAGTAATCCGGATTTGAATTATGAGAATAATAGAAGAAGAGAGTTTCATGATTTGGTGAGTAATAATAGTAATAGGATAGACTATGACGAGGAGGAGAATATTGAACCTAGTCTGATTAATTATTTCAACGGGACAATCATAACTGATCCCTCTGCTCAGAGGAACAACGGTGGAATCTGGGGTAGAATTGGTAACACATTTTCCGGAATTAGAAATAGTGTGAATAAGACATTTGGAAGACAGTCGTCGGTATCTCCTAGTGTGAATAGTAGCACTACTGGTGGATATAGAGATAACTCATTGGATGATTTTAATTATGATGATGATGCAAATGAAAATTTAATTGTATAAAGTCTACGGATGTATATGTCCGTCGTTTGTATTTCATTATTAGACATTTGTATAGTGTATGTGTTTAGTGTATAGAGAGATAACTTAATTGATAATATTAATTCACTTAACCTTGTAGCTGCACTTGTGTGTCATAGCTTATATTAGAGTAAGTTGTAGCTATAGCAGTTGTTGTATGGCATGGCAGCAACAAATGTTAAGTGATGACCGAGATGCGGTAATCCCCGGGTGCTTGTATTTTTTTTTTTGTTGGGTTTGGGATTTTTAACCCGAATGACATTCTTCTGGAAATTTATAAGTAATAAAACGGTGGAAATTTAATTGGGTAAGAAGGAGACACTGAGAGTGACCTATAAGTCTCCCCAATACTACTACACTCTCTTGTCGCAATGTTGAAGCAATGCTGTCGTCGCCATAACATACGTCATTCCAGATCGGTATCAACTGCAATTACATTCACTGCATTAGATAGATCCCCAGGAATACCGTTATCACATACTGAACCATTACGTATTGGAAAACTACGAGTCCCTTTACTCAAGAGTCCTTCGCATTTAGGTCATGTCACGAGTCGAGTCAATCGATTATATAATGAAGATAAGTACTCAGCACATGTACTTAATATTCATGACCGAGTCTTGTTTAATTTCAATGTGTTTGATGGACATGGTGGAGATTGTTGTTCGAAATATTTGGCAGAAAATTTATCACAAGAAATAGAACTGGCCGATGGACTAGCTGGTACTAGCTATAAAGATGGGAGTCAGACCGAAGTAATGTTGAAGAATTATGCAAAGAATATTGGTGGATATTGGAGACGATGGTATAAATCCCGGGAAGCAAATCTTGAAAGCTATCATGCCAATAAAATAACCCTATCAAAACTCCCCAACCAACTAGTGAAAGATGATTTATGTTGGAGAATCCCGCTAAGTTTCTTACAGACCGATTATCATTTCATGGAAGCCAATGAACAAGATCAATCAGGATCGACTTGCACCTCAGCCCTAATTGAAACCATATATTCCCAACCAGGGGTATTTCAACCCTATTATGAAAACTACTTCTTCAATCGTCATACCATATCCCGTCTTACCATCGCTCAAGTTGGAGACACGCGTGCCATCTTGGTTGATAAAAATGGACTTGCAAATGCACTTACAGAAGATCATCATCCACTGAATCCACTTGAAGCGGAACGATTACGGAAATATGCCATGAATATGATCATGACTGATTCCTTCGGCGAACAGCGGTTTATCGCCTTGGCAAACACACGATCATTTGGAGATGTCCAATATAAGGAAGTTGGGGTGACTGCAGAACCTGATATAAGACAATATATAATTGGAGATCTGAAAAAGATAAAACAATTTTTGACACGAGATGAAATCAATAAATATACCATTGGTGGCTTGGGTGGAGATGAAGGGTTTTTGATCTTATGTAGTGATGGGGTGAGTAATATGTTAACCGATCAAGAAATTGCTGATATTATCATGACACATTTTGATATGAAGGGACATACGGTAGCTACTCCCCAGAGTTGTGCTCAGGAAGTGATTAAGTTTGTGGAATATGTAGGTGGGGATGATAATGCTACGTGTATGGTTGTGAGGTTGAATGGATGGGGGATGTGGCCTACTGTTGATAGGACGGGTGAGTTAAGACAAGCAAGATTAGTCGATTATAACCCAAGAGGAAGAGCAGGTTAAAAATTCTTATTTATTACTTATTTATTTATTATTGTCGTTTTAGTTCTTATTATTACTCATACCCTCTTTATTAGAATATATATATACAAGCTGCTATAAATTATCTCTTTATTATACAAAATACCACCCAGTCTCTCTAATTCTTGGTATATTTATAAAGGAATCTTTGTCTAGTCGGAGCAAATTCACCCAATTTAGAACCAACCATATCATCAGTAATCTCTACTTCTACATATTCTTTCCCATTATGAATCTGGAATTTCAAGCCTACGAATTGTGGTAATATGGTGGCACTTCTAGCATTGGTACGTACTGGTACTCGATTCTTGATTGCTTGTGCGATTGGTAACGGGACGATATTGGGACCTTTCCAGGTGGATCTTTTCAATAAATGCAATGATGGTCTCATCCTTGTGTGTTTCGTATGTAATGCTAAGGTGTTGGGAAGGGGACTAGTTCAAGTAAGCTTACTCTTTGTAGGTTAGTTATTCTCTAATTGGTTATGAAAGAAATTGAAAATGAAAAAAATTTTGGTGGTGAAGACCGGAATTATCTTAGGTCATGTGATGCACTACCGGATGTACGCTAATTTTTATTTTTCAGATTTACCATAGCAGAGATGAGATGGAGTTATTGATCTCTTCTTATAGTCAACTTCACAGAGAGACAATGTTTGGTGCTAGGTTTGATCCGACCGCATTGGATGACAATGTTATAGAATCTAATACCCCAACTAAGAGTAGCATATTAAATTTTAGAAAGAGACGATTGAGCACTCATGAAGATGATAAAAGTGATGATGAGGAAAGGGAAGATACAAATGATAAGATAGAAGAGGATGATAACCTGTCTGAAGATGAGTCAAGTGAAGATTCCGATGATGGTGAGTCTGAAAGTGATAATGAAAGCGAAGAAGATGAAGAGGAAAAGGAAGCTGACGATGACGATACTATGAGCATTGATGAAAAGGAAGGTGATGAACAGATAGAGAAAGACGCTCAAATTGATCCAGACTACATCTCCAAACATAAAGCAATCTTTGACAAATTCAAAAAGTCAGTCGTCATTGAAACTACAACCCAGGTCTCATCAGACGAGCAAGACGAAGAAGAAGAACAAGTCCAAACTCAAGATCTTGCACCTTTACCTCAACCACAACTCCCTCGAGACAAAAAATTAGTCTCCACCACCACCCATCTAAAAAACCTCGACTGGTTAGCCACAGCAATCTACTCATCCCCCACTGACACGAAGCGATTCAGCGACATTACTCAACTATCCCCATTCATGCAAAAAAATCTCCTCAACAATGGCTTCACCCATGCATTCTCGGTCCAGATCGCCGTATTAGACCTCATGCTCCAAGACATCCAGAACCAAAAACTCCAACCTGATATCATGGGGGACATCCTCGTCAATGCCTCCACTGGGTCTGGGAAAACATTAGCATATCTGATTCCAATAATTGAAGCATTGCATACCCGAATTGTGCCCCGTGTTAGGGCTATTGTATTGGTTCCCACAAAGCCATTGATTAATCAAGTTAGATCGACTATGTTACTGTTGAGCAAGGGGACGAATTTGAATATTGTGAGTTTGAAGAATGATGTCAGTATAAAAGAAGAAGCTGGCAGGTTGAGCAATAATTCTCCACCTGATATTATTGTGTCTACTCCTGGGAGATTGGTTGAACATATTTTGGCAGAATCGATTGATTTGGATGCGTTGAGGTTTTTGGTGATTGATGAGGCTGATAGATTGTTGAATCAATCTTTTCAGAATTGGTGTCTGGTATTGATGAGTAAGATTGATCATCATATAAATATTGCTGAGACTTGGGGATTGCTGGTACAGAAGTTAATCTTTTCAGCTACTTTGACTACCGATGCTGGAAAATTGAGTTCATTGAAGTTTAGGAAACCTAGATTGGTGATTGTGAATGATCAACATGAATTAGTCAATGAAATGTTTAATGTTCCTCCAACATTATTAGAATACAAATTACATTTCGGTGTTTCTAAATCTTCAATCAAACCATTAATCTTATCTCGATTCTTAATCTCCCAAGAAAAATTAGCCAATGTATTAATCTTCACGAAATCCAATGAATCTTCGTTAAGATTATCCAAACTTCTTCAACTCCTCCTCAACCAATTACTCCCAACTCAAGAAATAAACATCACATACATCAACTCCACCAATAATCGAACCTCAATTCGACAAAAAATCCTCAAAGATTTCTCCACTCAAAAAATAAACATCCTAGTTGCCACTGATTTAATCGCCCGTGGGATCGATATATTATCCATTTCAGATATCATCAACTATGATCTCCCCAATTCTGCACGTGAATATGTTCATCGTGTAGGTAGAACAGCTAGAGCGAATCAAGCCGGGAATGCGTACAATTTCGTCTTTGGTAAGGGGGAGAATAAATGGTTTAATACGATCCTGAGAGAAGTTGGAAGGAGGGATAAGAAGGTTGAGAAGGTGGAGTTTGAGGTGAAGGAATTGGTAAGTGGTGAAGATGAAGTTGTTTATCAAGATGTATTACAAGAGTTGCAGAAACAATTGGCTAAGCATTGACTGAGTTGTGAGTTATATAGAGAAAGATAGTCGTGTAATAGTATTAGAAGCATTGTATTCTAAAGTAGTTTCTATGTCCCTAAACTTACATTCTATTCAAAGCGAAGTGTGAATAATCATAGCAAGCAATCTTATAATGGATGCGCTACCAGCCGGGCGTGATATGATAAAGCGCAATTTTTCTTTTCTTCTGCGTCAAGCTCTTCTTGTTAGACTACTTCTTCTTCTTCTTACGTGATAAAGTACAATATAGACTCCTATGAGTGATGATAATAAGAAGCTTACAGAAGAAGATTCATTAGGCGTAAAGCTAGTTGATCAAAATGAATTAGAAACGTCAATTACCAGAAAGGCCAATAAAGCATTATTAGTTAAAGAAACTGAAATTGATCAGAAGAGATTAGATAAAGCAATTAAAGATCTTAATAATACTATAAATAAGATAGGCTCACTCCAAAAGAAACTTGTCAATCCTAGAACTAAAATAAGTGAACGAAAATCAATCAAATTGGATATTGAATGGTTTACTTCAAATGAATTAGAACCAAGACAGAAAGATGTTGAAGAGATTACTATGAGATTAAATGAAGCTAAACAAAAACTAAATACTCAAGAGGATGAAAGCGAGATTAATGGAAAAGTAGAAAAGTTACCTGGAGAATCAGAACGTGAATTCTTAATAAGAACTGGGAAGATTACTGCATTTGGAAATGAAAACGCGTTTCAACAAGAACAAGAAATAGAAAATGTTGAGAGTCATGTGTTTTTAAGAACTCCTGGGTTTGATGATGTGATTGATGTTCCTGCTGATAGCAAGAATGATGAGGAGGTGGATTATATTGACAGTGACAACGACGAAGATTATCAAGAAGATACGCTTGCCTCCAAGAAGCGAAAGCGTCAAGACGAATCTGACGTTGATGATGAATACCTCGAAGAAGAAGATCTAGCTCCAGAATCCAGTGAAGATGAAGATATTCAACAATCTAGAAATGAAGAGCAAAGGAACATAGACGATGGAGATGAAGTGTTCTATCAACAACGACTCAAAGATTGGATTAAACGAAGATCAGCATTAAGGAAAACAGACAACCATCCCGAGCAAGAAGAATGGTTTAAACCACATCCCACAATATCCGATGGTGTTCTAAATGATAAATTTAAATTGCCAGGAGATATATTCCCTTCGCTCTTTGATTATCAAAAAACTTGCGTTCAATGGTTATGGGAATTATATACCCAGAAAACAGGAGGCATCATTGGTGACGAAATGGGATTAGGGAAAACCATCCAAATTATTGCATTCTTAGCCGGATTACATTATTCAGGACTATTAGATAAGCCAGTACTAGTGGTTGTTCCTGCAACAGTATTGAATCAATGGGTGAATGAATTTCATCGATGGTGGCCCCCATTGCGTTGTATTATCTTACATAGTATTGGATCTGGAATGGATACCAAAATTTCAGAAGAGAAATTAGAAGAGTTTCTAGAAGATAAAGATCCTTATGAATCAAAAAGTTCTTTCAGAGGTATCAAGAGTCAAATCAATGCCGAAGCAATTATAGATCGTGTTATGAAAAATGGTCACGTTTTGGTGACAACTTATGTCGGATTAAGAATTTATTCCAAGCATATCCTTCCTCGTGAATGGGGATATGTCGTACTTGATGAAGGGCACAAAATCAGAAATCCAGATCTGGACATTTCCTTAACTTGTAAGCAAATAAAAACCTATAATCGAATAATCCTTTCCGGAACCCCGATCCAAAACAATCTAATTGAATTATGGTCTTTATTCGACTTTGTATTTCCAGGTAGATTAGGCACTTTGCCAGTTTTCCAACAGCAATTTTCCATCCCCATAAATATGGGAGGATACGCCAATGCATCCAATATTCAAGTCCAAACAGGATATAAATGTGCTGTTGTTTTGAGAGATTTAATCTCCCCTTATTTATTAAGAAGACTCAAGAGTGATGTAGCCCAGGATTTACCGAAAAAGAACGAAATGGTGCTTTTTGTGAAATTAACCAAAGTTCAACAAGACCTATATGAGAAGTTCTTACATAGTGAAGAATTAAATTCGATCTTAAAGGGAAGAAGAAATGTTTTGATGGGGGTTGATATCTTACGTAAGATATGTAATCATCCTGATTTGGTGAATCGGGATATATTAATGCATAAACGGGGATATAATTATGGGAATCCCGCCAAATCTGGGAAAATGCAAGTTTTGAAGAATTTATTACAATTATGGCAAAGTCAAGATCATAAAACATTATTATTTTGTCAAACCAGACAAATGTTAGATATCTTAGAAAAATTCATCCAAGCCCTTAAACTCCTAGATCCAAATACTGGAGAAGAATCAACCGACTCTTATTTCAGTTATTTAAGAATGGATGGTGGAACACCAATAGCAAAAAGGCAAATCCTCGTTGATCAATTTAACCAAACACCATCCATTCACATCTTCCTCCTCACCACCAAAGTCGGTGGCTTAGGTGTTAACCTCACTGGAGCAGACCGAGTCATCATTTATGACCCCGACTGGAATCCATCTACTGATATCCAAGCCCGAGAACGTGCGTGGAGATTAGGACAAAAGAAAGACATCACAATCTATCGACTCATGACTACGGGATCGATTGAAGAAAAGATTTATCATCGACAGATCTTTAAGACTTTCTTAACTAACAAAATCCTCAAGGATCCAAAACAACGGCGATTTTTCAAAGTGAATGAATTGCATGATTTATTCACACTAGGTGATCAGAATGAGGAAGGTACCGAAACGGGGGAATTGTTTACTAGAGGTAATAGTGGGTCAGAAGTTAAATTTGGTGGAACTAAAACACGAAAATCGACAAGTTTGAAATATAAAAAGAAATATCAGGATGATGATGATTTTTATAAAGTGGCAAAAATCACGGGAGTTTCGAAATTGGATAAATATGTAGATGAACAAGAAGAACAAGAAGACGGGGGTCCTAAAGATGATGAGAGGATTATGGAGGGGATTTTCTCCAAGAGTGGAGTGGTTCATAGTACGTTAAAACACGATGATATTGTGGATTCTTCATCTGCCGCGGATGGGGAAATGAGTCTAGTGGAACGAGAAGCCAATCGGGTAGCCAATGCTGCTGCTGATGCGTTGAAGAAGTCAAGACGTTTAGCGAGACGGAATGAGATTGGGACACCTACTTGGACTGGAAAGTTTGGTCTTGCTGGGAAGTTTGGACCTAAGAAGAAGGCAAAGTCTGTTAAATCATCTTCTTCATCGTTGCTGATTCTTAAGGAATTGAAAAAGAGGAATGATAAGAATGATGGAGGGATGTTTGGGAGAGCCTCGAATGATAGAGATCAAGAAGAAGTGGATAGAGAGTTGACTATAGGTAAATTGGTGAGTTTTTTGCTGGATCAACCTGATTGTTTTAGTACTTCGAATGATATTGTTAAGAATGGTGATGTGGATATGAAATCTGAGAATGATATGATTGTAATTAGATCAATGCTTAGAGAGATTGCTAATTGGGATAAGGAACGTAAAGGCTGGAAATTAAAAGACGAGTTTAAATAGATTTGTATAATTATTTGTAACATAATAGTAACGTTGCAATTTTTTATTTTTGCAGTTTAAGTGTCCCCCCAACCTATCAGACGACCTCAGATTCAAATCTGTCGTTCGGATAAATTTTTTCTTCCTGAAATTGCTCCCCCACACAATATTGAAACTCCCATCAGTCCACCCTATCATTTGATTGAGATCTCCAAATGTTGAGCATAGTAAGAAGGAGGCTTTATTCCACCTCCTGGAAGCTAATTGACCACTGTCCCCAACCAGAATATGACACAGGGTGCACCCACTGCAAACCCAAACTCCCGGAACATCTCGCCATCAACACTCAACGAGACCTAAATAACACCAAAGCTGCCCCATATAAGCATGTCCTAGTATTAAGTCATGGCTATCTGAGTCTTGATACCATGGAACCGGGTATCTCTAAACATGTGGGATCTTTGGCATATCAAATCCATCACCTAAATCCCGATTTTCATGACCCGAAATATCCCGTACAGGTGTCGAATATCATCTTGCCCAATCAAGAAGAAATATTGCATAGGTTTAATATGACGGAAGGTGATAATTTAGTATATTTATATCCTGACAATAAAGCCGTGAAATTCAAAAAGGATCAGCTTGAAACGTTTGTCAAGAAATATCTCAAACATGATGAAATTGATGACGATATAAAATACCCGCACCTCAATTTGGACAAAATAAACATCAATCTCACCTATGACCACTTCTATGAAGAAGCGATCGCGAAACACCTCGTCCTAATCTGTGCCCATGGCCTCACCGATCGTCGATGTGGGATTATGGGTCCATTAATCCAGGATGAATTCCATCATGTGCTTCGAAAGGAATCAATTAGGCGCGAGGTACTGGTGGGTTTGGTGAGTCATATTGGAGGACATGCATATGCTGGAAACGTGGTTTATTTCCCTCGCGATTGTTTGAGGAACAGGGATATGATATGGTATGGAAGAGTGGGGCCAAAACAGGTGCAAGGAATTGTGAAGGAGACGATTATGAATAGGAATGTTATAAAAAGTTTGTTGAGGGGTGATCCAGAGTTGTATCGGTAGTATTTGATTTTGGTTTTACTCAGTTTATTTGTTTAAGAAAAAGGTTTCTCTTTACGTAGCATATAAGTTTTAAAAAGTTTGTCGAATTTCATTGTCTTGTAGCAATTGAATAGTAGCATGAGTAAATGTAGATCCCGCTGGTACTTTACGAATAGTAATATAAGTTTTTTGGGTCTAATGTGAAGATGCACAGGGGACGGATAATTTATGAGCCTTTATTGTGCTGCTTGTTAAGAATCTTCCAACAAATACTTCGCACCATTTTCCAGCAGATACTGCTAGTTCATCCAAACACGGCATCACTGTTATATATAGCAAGGGAACTGTTGATCTTCGACAGTAGTCACAATTTGTTTAATCGCTTCTTGAAACATGTCAAACCAGCTTTCGGGCGCTTAAACATCCCTTAACCCCTAATGGGTGGCTAATACCTAGGGGCTACTAGTTTCTAGAAGCCCGCGAATGAATCCTTCTCCCATAGGAGATCATATTCTCTTAAATTGTTAAAAGGAATGTGTGCATACGCTAAATTTTTAACCGTTCAATACAACTTACCAACCTAAACACAAGCAGTAAACTCTTCGAAAGTCAATGAAACGAACAGGACTATCCCTCCTCGGGAATCTATAGAATTGTTTGCAGAAGGTAGTTATTGAAGTTACAATACCTGGTAGGAGCTCGTAGTGTTGTAGAGAACTCCCAGTATGTATATTTAGAACTATATATCTAATTATAGATGTAGTTCCTTTCTCAGATGAATCTGTAGTTGCTCATACTCCGCATGGCATCTTCTGAACAAACTATCGTTGAAACTTATTCATACTTGATTATCCTGATTGAAGTTATATTGTTATTAACATTGTTATCATCCGAGAACTGGAACTCAAAGGTTGGGGGATTTCTAGTTACTTAAATATTAATCCCTAACCTAATTAATTATTTCGCACAGGTGGCAATTAGAAATTAACTTTCTAATAATTCATAACCTTCCAACTTACTCCTGAGTGCTTTCCCGAGAGTCCTATTTACCCAGCATTACCCGGGCTCATAGTATAATGTATTCTTCTCAATCTAACTCATGGTGCTCCTCTTCATCCGAGATTGGTCGGTCGTGGATCCATCTAAGTACCGAAGTACCCAAAGTATTATTACTCACTGCAGTGATGTCCTCACACTCAGTCACAAATCCCATTTGTGCTGCTTTTTTTTTCTTAAAATCATATATATTTGTAGCCTATATAAAAACGAGAAGAATCTATATAGAAATATAAATATATGCGCCTCCTGGACAATGTAAGGAGGGATTCATACTTATAACTCTAAGTGGTTCAAAAAACCTTTTATAGGCTAACTATGTCAGAAGACACAGTCTCGTGTGAGAATCTCCTAAAATAGGCATACTCACTAAAAAAACCAGCTTTTTCTTAAGTTGCAGTTTGTCACGTGCTTATGAGAGGGAGAACCCTCTCCACATCTGTTACAGTCAACTAATAAAGCTGTTGTAGGTTGGCATCACACCAATATGCAGGTAGCTTGAGATTCAGCGGACAATTAGGAATAGCGGGTCGCCACAGTGTATTGTTCTGGCTGCGGTCATTACATGCAGGATATTTCTGAGCCCAAGAATATATAAGCAGCAGGATTCCTCGATTCAGAGGTGAGTAGGATAATTTCACCAGACAACTAATTATACACAAATTAACCAGCTTAGTTATAAGAGATATTCTACAATAGTCTTTACCCAGCCTAAATCAATCAATACAACCCCTTAGATTTGGAGATTTGGTAGCGCTGTGTCTTGTATCTGCTTGGGTATGAGCACTCCGTTACATATGGTATGCACCGCTAGGTTTTGTTGAAGAGACATCAAGATAGTTTTTTGTTAAGTCAGGTAATTAAGATTTGAGATTTTGATTTTCTCGCCAGAAAAAATTTTTTTTCCCACAAATTTTGAGGTTAAGTGAAATTTTGTGAAAATCGCCACCCGGTAATTGGATTTCTCGAGAATTTTATTGACTAAGCCACAATTAAATTTACCACATTTTTGCCACAATTTTTTTTCAAAAGATTGCCTATTCAAGTTATTCAAATTAACTCCGCATAATTTTTTCAGAAAATCACAAAATTTCCCACCACCCGAATGAAGAATTAACCGACAAACTCTGCAACCACCAAATTAAGTGAATTATCATGGGGATCATACTTTGAATCAGAATTGAACATTAGAACTGAACGTTGAACTTATTAGAAGTGGATATTATTGAACAAGGTGAATCATTGAATCTTACCCTTTTATTGAAGAGTGAATTTCATCACATCACTGGATGGAGATTGATATCATTGAATGTTGTATTTGATTGAAGGTTGAACATAATCACACATTGGAACCTTTGAACGTTGGCATTGTTGAAATTGATATAAATTGAACTTTAGGTTTCCTGAATATGTGAATTTTTACTGAAAATTGGTATTGATTGAAATTTAGACTTATTGAATATGTGAGTTTTTATTAGAATTCAGATGGCTTGATTATTGGAATTTACTTGAACAGTGGATTTATTGAATAGTGGACCTTACTGAACGTTGGATTTATTGAATAGTGGATTTATGTCTATACCTTATCCAATTGATTTTAACCCACTCATCTTATAAAATTTGGAGAGTCAATGTTGTCACTATATTTGAATTATCTATTCGATTTGAATTATACAAAGTTGGAATCAGTTGAATTATATTTGCGCATTCGAAATTGATATTGATATTGATACTGATATTCACCTAGACCTATCATTGAACATTCGTGAATTAGAAATCGAAATTGAGATTGAAACTGAATTGAGATTGAGATTGAGAGATTGAAATTGAAGTCGAATTGAAATTGAAATTGAAATTGAAATTCACTGAGTTATTAGACTGAACAGTATTGAACTATTACTATTTAGATTTCGTTGAAGATACTTCTAGTTTTCAAGTTACTTATAAGTTGAGATCGTGTTGTGAATTATCAAGAGTTTCAGAATTATCAAGTGCAGAAATTGCAAAGCTAAGGAGCTTCTGTTTAGACAAATTTGAGACATAATTTAATCCTTCTTATGATTGGATCATCATTGCATTTAACTTTATTGTTAACCCCTCACTCCCAGAAGAATTATTTCACCTTGGAATGGATTGAACATATTATTGTTTCAGAAGAATTATCAACTACATCATTTTGGAATTATTCATTTTACTTTGTTGAACCAGATATTTTTTTTGAAATTAGTTGATTTGATAACCATACTTTGGAAGAAACATTGCGATCACCACTTAAGTTAGGTCATTATTAATTCTATTGTATTTTATGCCTTTTTACTCATTCCTTATTCAGATGTTGCATTCATAAATTGATGTTCTAATCGTGAAATTGACATATTATTGCTGTGAAAAGAGACCTTATTATCTGATCGTTACATCTGTTTTTTTTTGGTTTATTGAATTACCCCTGTTTCTTTTCATTACTTTGTTTTATCTTTCCATTTGTTTTTGTTTCAAGAGATTGCTTTATGAATACTCGTTCTGTTTATCAATATTAAACTAAGGGTTTGCAAAGTCGAAGACCATGATATTAAAATAGTGCACAAATGGGAATGTCTAACAACACCAACATAAGAATGTTTAACAACACCAAGAGGAATCTGAAGTTTTATTGAAATTGCTCAAACACTAAGAAATTTGAAGAACCATTATCAGTCATTACTATTTGAAAATTACCAGAACCATTATCTTTCATTGAAGCTTATTTGTATGCAAATCAAATGTGATTTAATCTTTTCATTATTACTGAACCATAGTTTTGTTTCATGTGAAATTGAAGTAGAAACCATTAGAACAAGATACTGCTATATAAATTGAATTACCTTGTGAATCAGTTCAACTTACATACATTAGTTTGGAGCTACCATGTTACCTATAAATTGGAGGAGCTACCAGTTTACATATAATTTTTTTCAGATGAACTTTATTTAACATTTAATTGCAGCAAGAACTGGAGAAGAAAGTGAAGATACTATTACATTATGAATTACAATTGAAGTCTACATTATCATTGACGAAGCTAGTTAATCATTCATTCATTTTTTTTCAGTTTGATTAGTACATATTTGAAGATTATCAAGATTACTATCGGCCACATATGCAAAACATTTTGGAAGAGTCACAAAGAAATGTCCAGTTTGATTCAGATATCGTTGGCAAAGTATCATTAGATAAATATCTCAATTGTACAGAGTCAGAAGCGACAACCACATTATTGATGGATTTGAAGTTGCAGAGCTCAATTTTTTTAATTATTGCTAATCAGTTAGAACATTATCATTATTGGAAACCTTATGAAGAGTCATTGAAGCTCAGAAGAACGTCTTAGCAACAGATGTATTGATTATTGATTCTTGCTTATTACTCATTGATTATTGATTATTGATAGTTGAGAACTATACCAGAGTGATTATTTCTTTTGCAGCAGATTTAGTTTGACGTTGTCATTACAAATTTTATGAATCATTATCAACTATACTATTGAAGAAAACCCAACTGAGAAGAAAACATTAATTAGCCATGATTCAGTTTGAACACTAGTTTATTGTCATACAGAATTAAGTTAAGTTATTGTACAGCTTTCGGAAATCAAACAAGTGAATTATCTTATTTTATTTCGTTATGAAGTTACATTTAGTTTATTGTTTCATGAAGTCATAAATTGAAAATCTTATTTGTTATTGATTATAGATCATTTGAAAAATTATTCATTGTCATACATTGAGATTCAAGAACAGTAGATTATTGAGTTATTACATTTTTGATCATTAATTGCATTATGGATTACGATACAATTTTTGAATTAACTTTCAGAAGAAGTCAACGAGATCAAGTTATTCATTAAAAAAAGAATTAGCAATTACAATTACTATGAATTTGACTATTAGCATAAAGTATTAGCACCCAGTATTAGCATCAAGTATTAGCATCAAGTACAATTACCCTATCATTGGTTATTTATTCATTGAAGTTTAACACAATCAAGCATTATTAGCAACACTTATTATGATTGTCAACAATTAATTCATTCTTATCACAACAACCATATTTTCCAGAATCAATTAGAAGAATATTCATCCTTTAATTGGCAGAGTTCCATTCACATTGAATTGACTACTATCACAATCACCATTCATTTTTTTTTACTTCATTACTACCACCACTACAATATGGAATTGTCACATTATTTGTTGCACCAACCTTATGAGATTTATTAGTGTTTGCTTACTTTAATTGTCATCACATTTCAATTGTTAATATTGTTACTTGTTTGCATTTTAGTTATTGAACTTTGCTCCTGAGATACCAAAGAAGATAAATACTGAAATTGTTATTGCTTAGAGTCAGAAATTTACAAAGAGTTACAGCTTTAGAAATTTAATTGATCAAATTGAAAACTTGCTATTGCTTATTGTTACTATTGTTATTGCAGAAGTCACTGAATTGTCATTTTGATATTCTGTTGTCACTTTATTCTTGAAAACTTATCCTTCAGCTAGTATTCAATACTTTATTATTTCCTCGATCATTGATGATAAATTACAGTTACGGAAGTTGTTACTAGATTATATTACCGAGAATTATCTGCATTTTGTTAAACATTTTAAGTTATATTGCATTCTTGAGTTAATTAGTTCATTACCACAAGCTTCATTTGATATATTACTATAATAACAATTTAGTTTAACGGTCCTTTCATTGTTGATATTGGAAATTGTTTGAATTTTTTTCATGTTACTTATGGTGAATTGAAGTTACTTGAATTAGAAATTGTTTATTGTTGTTACTCAGAAGTGTTAAAACTTAGACTTATCTTGCTTAAATTGAAACATGGATACAAATGATTCTGAATATTCTTATTGCAACTGTCTTTGTCTTGCCATTTTGAGACTGTGTGTCGAAGCTATTATTGAAATTACTTTATGAAGTTCAAATTGAAGATTTGTTGAATCCAATACTTCTTGAAGCACAGTTATATGAAACCTTCGAATCTTGAAGAACAATTGAAGAAGAATCTAGAGAAACAATTTGAAATTATTAGAAGATTGAGATTTGCATCTTGAATGAGAAAATACACTGTGAAATATTATTCAAAATTTACTTAAGTTAGTCCTCAGAAGATTCAATTGAGATTTAATTGCACGAAAATGTGTTACTGAAGAGTTTAGAGTTTTGTTTTTCACGACAATGTGTTATGGAGAGTTAGAGCTTGGCTTCTCTCGAAACTGTGTTACAGAGTGTTTATTGAGTTTTCACGAAAATGTGTTTTGAAAAGTTTCATTGAGTCGTGCTCAGACGATTTCATTGAGTTTATGTGAAGATTACATTCATTTCTTAAGAGCTTGAAATTGAGCTATGTTTTTTTTATGAGTTTTGTTTTGTCATGTTGGTAAGGAGAGTAGTAGATAAATATAACTTGGTCGTTCTGCGATCAGGTGGGTTGTATCTACTCTTCTTTGGCTTTTCTGGGAATCTTGCTTATGGAGGAATATGGATTCTGGATGGTGGGACGACTGCATTAAGCGAGGTTGATTGACCTTAAGTTCTTGACAAGGAATTGTGCTTGCAAAGGAAACCCCTAGACGATGGAGTGTTAGACTAGTTGAGTTGGACTAGTACAAATGATCTTGCTGCCGCAATAGTCAGTAGGAGAGAGCCGCAATAGGCCAATCGAAACGAGCCGCAATAGGCAAATAGAAATCAAACGAGCCGCAAGAGGCAGGTCCAGAATAGAGACCATAGTATTTATGTTTCACTTAACACTCACATCGAAGTCCTCATTTCATCCAGGCAGTTGCAGGTGGTAAAGCAACAACTTGGCAGCCGTAGTGTACAAGGGTTTCTAGTTACACTACCGTCGATCAAGTTCCCTAGTTATTCTCAACGTTCCAAAGATTGTCATCCATTGGTAAGATGTACACTTGCTGGTGTTTGGTTTATTCTTGCTCAATGCTGATTTGGTTGCAAAATTTGATTCCTGGCCCGTTGACGATTTTAAAACCAGGTCTTTTCCATCACATGTTGGCTATTTTCCTCAACTCATCGCTCATCCTTCGCTGCAGTCGTTTCGGTGGCTCAGTGAGGACACTGAGTTTGGAGGGGGGGAAAGTGTTGTGGGTTGGCATCACACCAATATGCAGGTAGCTTGAGATTCAGCGGACAATTAGGAATAGCGGGTCGCCACAGTGCATTGTTCTGGCTGCGGTCATTACATGCAGGATATTTCTGAGCCCAAGAATATATAAGCAGCAGGATTCCTCGATTCAGAGGTGAGTAGGATAATTTCACCAGACAACTAATTATACACAAATTAACCAGCTTAGTTATAAGAGATATTCTACAATAGTCTTTACCCAGCCTAAATCAATCAATACAACCCCTTAGATTTGGAGATTTGGTAGCGCTGTGTCTTGTATCTGCTTGGGTATGAGCACTCCGTTACATTGAAAAAAAATCAGTCACAGTGGCCGAGTGGTTAAGGCGACGCCCTGCTATTGTTAGCGGTTTAGGCGTCGGGATTTTCCTTCGCAGGTTCGAATCCTGTCTGTGACGCCATTCTTTTTTGAATTACTTTTTGCTAATCCCGGGTCTCGTCTTGATGAATTGGGGAATGTTTGTATCATGGTAGGATAGTATAATTATGATGTGATATTTGGTTGTCGGCCCAACCATTGTTGGTGTGCTGTCGTTCTTGGTAGAGGACGACATTTTTTGGTTGGTGGAGGGACGACATTTTTTTTCTGTGTAGAATTGCTGCAAAAAAAATCCAAAGTTTCAGGAGCAATTGCTGCGAAATGCTACCTTTTTCTCTCATGTATATTTATTTGGCGAATAGGGATAATAGAGAAAGAAGAAGAAAGTCAAGGCTGCAAATATATACTTACCAAACCATCATGTTCCAGAAGTAATAATTGGCCCTCAAATATCTGCAAGTCAGATACAACGCATATAATCGATCAGTGAACAACGCGAAGCATATCTACAAAGAAGTTCCTTTCAAGCCTGTACATGTCTATTCTATCCTACATAATAATAAATACCACTAATCCTCAATCTCCGGCCCCTCCAACCACAAATCAAACACAAAATACAACCTCTCCCTCATCTCCTCACCCACATTAATAACCATCCCTCTCGCACCTTCCTTCGGTGGTTTTCCAATCACATCATAAGTACAATAATACGGATGTATCAACGCCGTAAAATCGGGCTGTTGGACCCATGCATCACTAGGCTCGTCATATCCATGTACATAGATCGGCAGGACAATTGTAGGTGGTCGGATAATATTTTCGACCATTAATGGATTTAGGGAAATCTTGGTGTCAAAGATTTCGTTATTTTCTTTTTCGAGGTCCATTTGGGTATCTTCATTTTTGTTGAATGGGTTTTTCACATTTTCGACAAATGTTGTTTTATATTTATCTTTTAATAATGTGTGGAAATGATTTGATGGGGCTTCGTCATAGATCCAATTTTGTAATTGATGGGAAGTCATTGATATTAATGTGACGTCATCGGCGTCTGAGAGTTGTCCCCATGATGATGAACAGATTTCCAGGGATTGGGTGACGTCTTTGGGGAGATTGGATTCGGGGGTTAGGAGACCAGCACTGACTGCGAAATTGTGGTTGAAGGATATGTGGTCATTTGTGCCTGCAAGTTCTTGACCGATCCAAATGAAATCAGGGGAGAGCTTATTTGTTTCGGTGGTTAATCTTATGGCAGGGATGTTGTAAAGTTGAAGATTGGCAGATAGTAATAATCCATTCAAGTTTTTTGATTTATTGATGATGATTAATGAAGGATCTAGGATATTTTGGAAACTGTCATCAAAGAATCTTCCTGTGGTTGCAGTGTCGTCTTTTCTTGGATGTATATTGAAATATCTTGTATCAAAATCAGAAGGAGTTAATTTCGATCTAATCAAGTTTGTTACTTCATGAAAACCCGGTTGAAATCGCTTAGGTCTATCACTATAATGACTTGGAGATCTAAAGAATAACATTCCAGTTTCTTTATATCTTTGATCGTCGAAATACTCAATTGGATCAAGTAATGGGATCGAATCTTGTGATAATACAATTACTTCTTCAAAAGAATTAAATATCATACTTAATGAAAGAATGAAGTTTGGATTATTAAAAAGATATTGTTTTGCAAGTATTGGATGTTGTTTTGTATTTTTAACTTGACGTAAATCAACAAACCATAAATCTTGTTTTGGATAATCATCCATTTGCGCTTCTCTAAATCTAGGTAGATATCTAATACCTGTTCTTGCAGTTTCTATTAATCGATTTCGATCTTGTTGACTAAATCCCTCATCTGATATATACATGATTTGAATTGGTAATTTATTTCTGATACCTCTAAGAACTTGTATTAATCGATTTATATTTTCGATTTGATTTGGATTCTGTGCGGATTTCGGATATAATGGAATTACAATTCCTTTCCCATTACTTCTACGCTGTAATTGTTCGATAAAACATTTTGTTTCCTTTTCTTGAGTATATTTATCAGAATCATATTTGGGGAGTTTCCCAGAATCAAGGTTTTCACCTTTCCAACTTGAAAATTTCGGCCAACGACCCGAGATCCAAGGGTATAATTGTCGTTGAAACTTTGTACATTGTGCTTCTAATTTTTTATCCTCCCCATCCGAAACTTGCCATTGCTCGGCGAAACACTTCCCAAACACTCTCATATGATTAAATGAAAATACCAATGATTTTTCAAGTTTTGATTGCTCTTTCGCTGCCAATATGAATTCTTCTTCGATCTCCTTATCAGATAGTTCTTTCCCCTTACCTCCGTTACTAAATCTTTCTTGTTTTAATCTCGTTTTCAAATCCCTGATCCATTTCTTTTTCTTATATATCGTAGGATCAATAGCTTGAGATTGAATGCCTTCAATATCAAGAATTTCAGTATCGGCAAGTAAAGATGATAAATCCAGGAAATACTGTATGCATTTTGCACTAAGAGTTCCCGGTGGTTTTGATTTTCGTTCTTCTATTAGCCATTTTGCATATATTGGGTTTAAGAAGCTGTTTCTTTCAGATATTAGATCAAATGAAAATATTGATTGCTGTTGATTTCGTTGCTGATTTGGAACTATTGCATGATGAAAATTGAAATGTATTATTGTTATAATAACCAATACGGATAGGATTACAAATAGTTTCTTTGATTTGAAGAATAGATTTGTTCCTAACTGTTGTATATTATTTACCTTAATCATTACCACCTAACCAACCAAATTATAAATTGGCAACCAACTGTTCATTGAAAAGAGAAGAAAAGAAAGTGAGACGAAAAAATAAACTTTTTTATTTAACGCGCATTTCTACGAGAGTAAATTTCTACCGAGTGCAATTTCTGAAACTTATAAGCCTTGCACACACATATTAAAGTGGTACAAATTAACGATTTTCATATGATTGCTGAGGGGAATTACTTGAAGCAAAACGAGATGAACCAACAACAAGAAACCAAATATAATAAACACTCAGAAGAACTGGAAGATTCAGATTTAGATGATTTCATAGGACCGATACTAATCCCCAAGGCATCACCTAATATAATCCCCACTAAAACAGTGGATATACCTGATAGAGGTCCTAGTTTACAGGAACTTCATATAAAGAAACAGGCAATATCCAAGGATTCAGATAAACATAAAATTCCCACACATTTTGATCATTCTAAAGGATTAAATGAAGAAGTTAAACAAGAATTATTAAGAAAGCTAAATGCAGATGGAGGATTATCAGGGAGATTCACATCATCAAGTAAGAAATAATAGATATTATATTGGGTATATTATTTATTCTATATTGTAGTCTTACCAAATATTCTATCTAATTCATTCACATCATCGTCAACATCTTTATGTTGATGTTGTTGCTTTTCATTAGTTTCAACCAAGCTATCATTCTCAATCTCTGGAACTAATGGCTCAGCTCTATGCGGTTGCATAACCCCATAATCAAAACCCGGAGCCACTTTTATACTCTGTCCATGAATCCATTCATTATATTTTTCAATATCCTTATCATTCTCCACTGCATCCTTCAATCTCTTCTCAATTGCTTGTATTTCTCTTATCCAAGCATCTATCTCAACTTGAGTTATGTTTAGCTTTGGAGGTACGACTGTGTTTGAAAGTGATGGTATTAGTTTGCTGTAGTTTGTGTTTAAGTTGATTGGTTTTGGTGGTTGATAGCATGGGTTTTTGATGAGGGGAACTTGTTTTAATATTGGATCGGCTGATATGTTGTTAGTATTGCAGGTTGGTAGTTAATAGATTAAGGAGATTACATACGTCTATCTGTGTCGTCCATCATTGTGGCTTGTCTGTGTGTGATGATATAATAATTGGGGGAGAGTAGATTGGAGGCGAAAATCAATTTACAGTGGAAAAATTGAGTTGAATATGGTGGAGGATACAATTACCACCAACATAAATTTTCAATCCACTGGAAAGAGGGAAGGATACTACGAAGGGGAAGACGAAGTAGAACTCCAAGCGCAGATGTATTTCTACAATTCTCAAATTTCAAAATAGAACTCTTGTTTTTAAAAACTTTCTATATGAATATAGTACACATGCTTTATATATAAACAACAACAACAAGAAAACGCCGAAAACAGGTCCTACCTATACTTCTATACTCAACCAGTTATTCACTGATAGTCATTTTTATTGGATAGCTGGCTGTCTTAATTATCTTTATAATGACGAATCAAGATATAAGCATTTTCTTGTTTCAAATTAGATAAAGAACGATATCCTCCTTCTAAACGCATTAATAAACCTCCAAAAGAAATATAAACCGACATCTTATCACTATCAGCATTTTCTTCAAATTTATAAACAGTACCATACATAACGTAATCATAATCATCAGCCAATGATCTATCATCAGGTCTTGGGGGTCTCCAACTTCCATTGGAAGTCAACATAGATGATTCATTACCTAAACTAGATGCTAAAGTAATAGTCAAAGAATCATTGGTTTTAACTGGGAATAATTCACTATTTATATCTAAAGTGATTTTAATATCTTGAGATGTTGATGAATGTCCTGTTATTCTACAAACTTTGTTATATCTTGCTGCATCTGTGTTGTCCACAATGAACATATCTTCAAATAATATTCCTGACATCGTTTGTTTATTTCTTGGTATCTATTAATAGTGTGTTGTTATATATCTCCCCTGACACAACACCTAATTGAAAATGTGATAGTCTTTTGATGAGATGAAAAATTTAAAGACTATGAGAGATTGAGATGAACGAGAAAAAAGATGTCGATGCGGCTCATATTTTTATCACATGACCGAAATCACATGACTTATGTCACATGACTATTAATATAATCCCAATTAGGAAATAAGTAAACAATCTATTTTTAGATTTAAATTTGGTTCCTTTGTGTCTTATAATTTTTTGGTTTAGCCCTCCTTAACTTACACTTTTCTATTCAATTTATCATTGGAAAAATCTTTTTTTAAATCCTCTCACCCCCCGCCCCATCTGTCAAGTAACTACACACTTTACATAGCCATACATATACCACTATATAATATATAAATAGAGATCCTTAGGTTATTTAATTAAATTCAATTTAAGTAGTTATATTCTTTTTGTAATCAAGAAACAATGTTCGGACAACCATTAGCAGTTATAGATGAAAAAGAACCCCTTGACTTCCATCATCAGAAATCATCCAAAAAATCAACAATTCTAAAATGGACAATACCAATTTGTATGGTATCATTAATATATATCTTATATTCAACAAATACATTTCAACAGAATCACGAATTATCATATTTCAGTACTGCTCAGGAAAAAGGGGGAATAGTGGGCTCGGTACCACAACATGAAAGCCCATTGAAGGTTAAAAGAGCAGATACTACTACATCTGATACAACTAATACTGATAAGACAACAGAGACCACTGGAAAAACAACTACGACCGACTCGAAACAAACAACCACTAACACAGATACAAAGGCCACCACCACTTCCAACAACAAGCAAACCACCACCACTGGCAAGAACTCAGAAACCACCACCACCGGTAAGAGTTCAGAAACAGCCTCCCAGAAACAAGACAGTAAAACCACCAGCGATAAGTCACAAGATAGCAAAAAGACCACAACTAGCCAAGATTCTAAATCAAAAGAAACATCCTCTAGTAAGACCACCACCTCAACCACGAGCGACAGTACAACCACCACCAGTCAAACCTCACAAACAACCTCAACTTCGACTTCTGCTCCAGTCCCATTCTATGATCAAGCAGGGTTGAGATTCATGTTTGTGGTATTTGGTTTTGTTTTTTTGAATATGTTTGCTATTTGTGTTCATCATGTTTATATGTTGGCTACCAGATCTGCAAATGCTTATAAAACTGTGGCAGATGATATATCACCCTTCTAGAAGAAGTGCTGTGTATATGTATACAGAATTGTATTTATAGAGTTAAATAGGTTTTTTATATTACGACTTGTTTTTTTGTCAATCACTTGCCCCAGGCTAGTTTTGTAAAATTATTCTCTTTGTAAGTGATTTCAGAACCATTATGAAAGGTTAAACATAGACTGCTACTCACGCTCATTCCTACTTTATAGATGAGCTGAACTATTGTTTGTTGTATGCGGCCGCAACTCCGTGCGTACTGGCGTCCTGGCGTCCCCTGTGTTACCAAACAGAACAATGATATGATGAAATCCGAAAAAATAAAATCCTCGATGGAACAATTATGAAATTCGATTACTTTATAGTGATAAACCCAATCAATTCTATTCCGTCGAGTTTTTTAATCCCCATAAGTTCCTCCTTACTAGTCAGCTGTCATCACTTAATATATATCGAACATCTCCTCCCTCCACCACAATTCAGAGTTGAAGATATGCCCTATCGTCATCATCTTCCACCATTATCAACCCGACTCATCCAAATCGGATGTGCCATCACCTGGTGTCTAGTTGCAGCAGGTATAGTATTTGGATTCGCCGCCATCAAACCAATCCTAATATCTGAACATGTCTATGAAGAAAAATGTCAAATCTCCGCCTTTGAAGAAGTTAAATGTTCTGCACAAGAATTGGCACTAGATTTATTATTTACTTTAGCATGTATGACGACTAATATTTCGGCTTTGCCTGTTGGTTGGATATTGGACTCGTATGGTCCGCAAGTGACTGGAATTATTGGAGCCGGGGTTTTGGTATTTGCATCGATTTCTTTGAGTTTTGCGAATAAGTTGGCGAAGATTGATGGATATTTGATTGGATATAGTTTATTAGCCCTCGCGGGGCCATTTGTTTTCATTTCATGTTTTCAATTAGCGAATAGTTTCCCCAAACATTCAGGATTAATATTGGCGTTGATTACAGGATCGTTTGATTCTAGTTCGGCGTTGTTTTTGTTTTATAGATTGTTTTATACGAATGTCTACCAGCTTTCATTGAGTGGATTTTTTGGGTTTTATTTAATAGTGCCGGTGTTTATTTGTTTATGTCAGGTTTTTATTATGCCTAAGGAATCATATAAGACTGTTGCTACCTTGGCCAAGATTGCTGAAACGGGGATAGATGAGACTGGGAAACCTTTGGATGTGGATTTGTTACTTCCTCAAGATCAACCAATATTACAAAGTGACCAAGACGAGGAAGAAGATGATGAAGTAGTAGAACAAGATGAAGGAGTCCAATTCTATCAACCTACAATCTCCGAAACAGCCCATCTCTTAATCAGAAGAGATCCAATCCCTGACGAAAACCCCCATGTCCGCCGTGCATCCTTCACATCCGTCCACTCAAATAAATCGGCATATGAACAAGAAGCCGACATAAAATTAATCAACTCCACTGGAGGAGTGTTCGGAATCATGCATGGATATTCTATTCGTGCTCAAATGTCATCTCATTGGTTCTTATTAATGACTTTCTTTACAACTAGTCAAATGTTAAGAATCAATTATTTTGTTGCCACTATAAAATCCCAAGAACTTTATTTATATGACAATAATGAAGAATTAGCTACTTCCATAAATCAATTTTTTGATTTAGCATTACCATTAGGTGGAGTGGTTGCTATTCCTTTTATCGGACTCATATTGGATAATTGTACAACATTGGCAGTTTTGACAAGTTTGACTTGTCTTTCCCTATTTGCTCATATTATGGGACTCTTGGCATGGATACCGGGGACATATATGGGGATATTGGTCTTGGTTGTATATCGACCATTTTTTTATACTGCAGTTAGTGATTTTTGTGCAAAAGTATTTGGATTTGATACATTTGGAACAGTATATGGAACCATTATTGCATTTTCTGGGTTATGTAATGTTTTCCAACAAGTATTGGATAAAGCTACACATGAAATGTTTAATAAGAATCCTGGACCTGTTAATATTTTATTGACAGGGTTGACGGCCATTACAGGATTGGCGATTATTGGATTTGTGAGGTCACAGGAATTAGAGATTAAGAGACGACAATTGGAGGTTGAAGCTCAAGAAGCTATCAATAGACCAATTCCTACATAGACCCCCCCATGACTTATACCCCTGGGATTATTTGATATAGTATTAATATATATATGTAAACGAAATTACCTTTTCTTTCTATTCTTTCTATTCTTCTTTTCGAGTTCCCAAACTAAATCAGGATCTAATGCTTTTAATTCTGGTTGTGTACTGACAACTTTTTCTTCATTCGGTAGTATTGTTATCTTCTGTAAGTAGTCTGGTGGAGAGATAACCCACTCTTCATCGTCCTCATCTCCCCCCGACTCCTTTTCCTTCTTATATTCATGTTTTTCTTCTTTCGCGTGCGCTGTTTTCTTCTCTTCCAAAGAAGCTACTCTCTCTGGGAAATTAGACAATATTTCCTCAACAGTTTTCAAACTCATTTCTTAGCTTGTTGAGCGGCCTTCTTCTTTTCAGCTTCCTTTTGTTTCTTTTCAACTTCTCTTCTAGATCCTTTAATTAATTCCAAATGACCAACTCTACTAGCAATTAATTTTTCAGTAGATGCTACTAATTGACTTTGATGAACTTTTGATAATTTAAGAGCTTCTTTAGCAACTGTCTTTTTTGGTTTAAGAATTTTAGGAGCTGCTCTTTTTGGATTTTGTTGCTTTTTGGTAATTCTTGCTGGAGCCTTTGCTTTTAATTTAAGTTTACCTTGAGCCATTATTGTGTATGTGTGTGTGTGTGTGGATGAGTTTGCTCAAGGGTTAGGAAAGAGAGTACGATTTGTTACTCTATAAAAAAATATCAAATGTTGATGAGATGAGATTTTTACAACGAGCGACTGAGTGAGTTTTTTTTTTACAACCAATTTTTTTTGGCTGCCAAATTTAAACAATTCTACTAACTGACAATAGGGGAGACAACAACACAAACAAGTTGCAATCAGTCCGATCCATATATTCATAGGATTAAAACTTACTTTAAGTAGCGATAATTAATTGAGTCATTTAAAACGAGGAAAAGTATGTATTATATTACAAGTGTGTAGTGGATATGATTTGGTGAATACAAAGGTTGATTTGGGTTACACTGCTATCATAACTATGTAGATATCTAAGGACAGTTGAATAGTATTTAATTTTGTATGGCTTCACCTAGTAAATTCTCTTTTGGTCAGCAGATAGCTAGATAGTTATGATATATGCAGATTCAGTTCAGTTAGCATTTCAAGGAAGAAAGTAATTGATAGGTATTGCTATTCAAACATAGAAGAGATAAAGTCCATCAAATCTTCAAATCACTACTCCAATAATACTTCCAATGGGTCCATTTTCGTTTGCTACCATTTTTCTTATGCCTGTCATTTGAATTGACAACATCAGTTGAAAATATCCCTTTTATAATGAGCTCTTTGGATAAATATAAACAGAAGAATGATAGCAAACATATAATTCACTCCTTAGAAGGGTATTATCTGGATGGTCGACTCACACACTGTTGACTTGTGTGTAAATGTGTTTCTTCCTTCATGGTTGCAGACATGAGAAACCAACTAAAAAAAAGGACTAAGAAATTTTGCAGCACTTAGATTGCAAAAAAAAAGTTTTGACTTCATTTATGTTTCTTCTCGTTCTTTGTCCACAAACAAATCTACCACATCAATAATTCATTCAGTCACTAATTTTCCTATCTCATTCAATCCATAAAAGACAGTTAAATGTTCAAGGAAGCATTCATGGGGAAAAGTTGTTAGAGGAAAAGTTGTTAGAGGGAAACGAAATTTACTTGTGGCGCTTAAGCCACAGAACGGAAATCAAACATCAAGATGAAGAATTTGTGGTAATTCAATCTGGAGAAGGTTTGACCGGAGTCCATGGATCAGTGAAGTATTTTCATTCTGAATTGGACAGCTGGTCACTGACTGGTTCGAGTGGTGGATTTATTATCTGGTTTCATCGGACAAAGGTTTTACTTAATCCAGGTTGTGGTTAATTATGGGAAATCAATGAGTACTACCTTTCTATATATTAATTATGAAGCTTTCTTACTAACAATATTCTAGAATCTAAATCAAGAATTCCAAAATCAAACTCAATTTTATCATTCAAACATCCTTTATATTATTCAGTCCGTCCTTCATCATCATCCTTAAATCAAAGTATCATCGATCATTATATTGAATCATAAACTAGAAAAATCATCCAAAGAAAAGATCACAGAAATGAGAAATTGGGTACGACACAATTTAGAGAGAGCTGAGCTGGATTTCACGGATCAATTTAACAATGTCATTCTGAATTAGGCGCCTGATCAACGCTCAGTTTGGGTGATATGTTTTATCTGATTTCCAAGGAAGAAGGCTCGGCTCAATCTAGATTGCTGGGGAATTTTAATGGGATACTGGGGGAATACACTTTCCATTCATTTGAATTATCTGCTTGGGCAACGGTTAACTTCTATGATGGATTTTACGGGAAACTGACGGCATTTATTGGGATACTGGGGGAATACTTTCATTTGAATTATCCGCTTGGGCAACGGGTAACTTCTATGATGGGTTTTACGGGATATTGACGGCATTTATTGGGATACTGGGGGAATACATTCATTTGAATTATCCGCTTGGGCAACGGGTAACTTCTATGATAGATTTTATGGGATATTGACGGCATTTATTGGGATACTGGGGGAATACTTTCATTTGAATTATCCGCTTGGGCAACGGGTAACTTCTATGATGGGTTTTATGGGAAACTGACGGCATTTATTGGGACACTGGGGGATTTCAAGGGAGTTTTAGTGGGTATTACCGAAAGGTCGAGTCCCACACTGTTAATTCGTGCGTAAATGCATTTCTTCCTTCATGGCTGCATACATGAAAAACAAAAAAAAAAAAATAAAGGAACTTTCTATTCATTCTATTATTCACTTATACAGTCAGTTGATATTCAGGAACAAATGGACTGCATATAAAACAGGAGAAAAAAGAGTCAAAAATTTCACACATTCAATTTATCACCAATCAATCAATAATCATCATCATCTCATCATCTCATTTTTTTTTTTCATTTTTTACTTTTTCAATTTATTTCATTTCTTCTTAAGACTTTAGTTACTTCAACACATAAAACTCAACAACGAATTGCCTTTCCCCCCATTAAAGGTTCTTTGTACTATTTGCAACACTTTTAACCAACTCCAATGAGTAACTTCCTTATTTTACCAGGTCCAAAGGCCTTATCATCATTCAGAGTTAATAATTTCATTCAAGAAATTGAAAAGAAGGTTAACCAAACTGGTGTTATTCAAGAAGTTGTATCTTGTTATACTCATTATGTCTCATTATCTAAACAATTAACACCCAATCAATCTCAGTTACTTGAAATCTTATTAACTTATGATAATCCAATTGACTCCGACAATCAATTAAATCAACATTTAGTTAAATTAGTCACTGGAAATGAAACTGAATTAGAAACTGATACTTATTTAGTTCAAATCTTACCAAGACCAGGTACTATTTCTCCATGGTCTTCAAAAGCTACCGATATTGCTCAAATTTGTGGTTTAAATGAACAAGTTGAAAGAATTGAACGTGGATTATCATTATTAATCAAAGTTCAATCTGGTTTTGAGTTGTCTCATCATATTCATAATGGAGAAATCTTAACTTCTGTCTTTGATAGAATGACTCAAAAACTTTATATTGGTTCGAAAGGTCCCGAATACGATGATTTGTTTGCTCATCATTCTCCAAAGCCTTTGGTTCATGTTGAATTACTTGGTAATGAAGATAATTTAAGAAAAGCAAATAAGGAATTAGGTTTAGCTTTAGATGAAGGTGAAATTCAATATTTGATTCATGCTTTTACTGAAGTTATCGGTCGTAATCCAACAGATGTTGAATTATTCATGTTTGCTCAAGTCAATTCTGAACATTGTCGTCATAAGATTTTTAATGCCGATTGGACAATTGATGGAATTGCCAAAGATTCTTCCTTATTCAAAATGATTAGAAACACCCATCAAAAGAATCCAAATTATACTATTTCAGCTTATTCCGATAATGCTGCAGTTTTTGAAGGTCCAGATGGATATGTATTCACACCTGATTTCAAAACTAAACAATGGACTTCCACCAAAGAAAGAGTTCACACTTTAGTCAAAGTCGAAACTCATAATCATCCAACTGCCGTTTCTCCATTCGCAGGTGCGGCTACTGGTTCCGGAGGTGAAATTAGAGATGAAGGTGCTGTAGGTAGAGGATCGAAATCAAAAGCTGGTTTAGCTGGGTTTTCAGTTGCAGATTTAAATATTCCAACCTTACCACAACCTTGGGAAAGAAATGTTGGAAAACCAAACCATATTGCTTCATCTTTAGATATCATGATTGAAGCCCCAATTGGATCTGCTGCATTTAATAACGAATTCGGTAGACCTGCAATCAATGGATACTTCAGAACTTTAACTACTGAAGTTGCAAACAATCAAGGAGAAACTGAAATTAGAGGTTTCCATAAACCAATCATGTTGGCTGGTGGTATGGGAGCAATCAGACCAGGATTAGCACTTAAAGATTTCAAAATCACCCCAGGAGCAAAATTAATCGTTCTTGGTGGTCCATCTATGTTGATTGGTTTAGGTGGTGGTGCTGCATCTTCCATTTCTTCCGGTGAAGGTTCTGCTGATTTAGATTTCGCTTCTGTACAAAGAGGTAATCCAGAAATGCAAAGAAGAGCTCAACAAGTTATTGATTCTTGTGTTTCTTTGGGTAAAGAAGGTAATCCAATTCAATCCATTCATGATGTTGGTGCTGGTGGGTTATCTAATGCCTTACCAGAATTGGTTCATGACAATGATTTAGGTGCAAGATTTGAATTAAGATCTATCTTATCTTTGGAACCAGGTATGTCTCCAATGGAAATTTGGTGTAATGAATCTCAAGAAAGATATGTAATGGGAGTCGCTCCTGAAAATTTGGAATTATTTACCAAGATTTGTGAACGTGAAAGAGCTCCATTTGCTGTTGTTGGTGAAGCCACTGTTGAAAAGAGATTAGTGTTGACCGATTCTAAATTAGGTTCAACTCCAATTGACTTAGAAATGTCCGTCTTGTTTGGTAAACCACCAAAAATGTCCAGAAATGCCGTGACTTCAAACTTAACCTTAAAACCATTCACCACTACCGGTTTAGATATCAAAGAATCAATTGATCGTGTATTGCAATTACCAGCTGTTGGATCTAAGAATTTCTTAGTCACCATTGGTGATAGATTTATCACCGGTTTAGTTGATCGTGATCAAATGGTAGGTCCATGGCAAGTACCGGTCGCCGATGTCGGTGTCACCGCCACCTCAATGGGTGAAACTGTTTTATCTACTGGTGAAGCCATGGCTATGGGTGAAAAACCAACATTGGCATTAATCTCCGCCAGTGCATCCGCTAAGATGTGTGTTGCTGAATCATTGATGAATATCTTCGCTGCTGACATTTTGTCTTTGGAACATGTTAAATTATCTGCTAATTGGATGTCCGCCGCTTCTCATCAAGGTGAAGGCGCCAAATTATATGAAGCTGTTCAAGCTATTGGATTAGATTTATGTCCAGATTTAGGTATTTCAATTCCAGTTGGTAAGGATTCTATGTCGATGAAGATGAAATGGGATAATAAAGAAGTTACCGCTCCCTTGGCATTAACCATTACTGCATTTGGTCCAGTCGAAAATACTTCCAATACTTGGACTCCATTATTACAAAGAGTTGACGATTCTGTTCTTGTTTTGGTTGATTTGGCTGCCACTGTTAAGAAATCCTTAGGTGGGTCCGCTTTGGCTCAAGTATATAAACAAGTTGGTGATTCTGCTCCAACTGTTCATTCTCATGCTGTTTTCAAATCATTCTTACAAACTTTGATTGTTTTACATAGAGGTTTTAATGTTTTATCTTATCATGATAGATCTGAAGGTGGGTTAATCACTACTGTTTTGGAAATGGCTTTTGCTTCGAGATGTGGTTTAGATATTAATGTTGAAAGTGAAGATGTATTCACAGAATTGTTTAATGAAGAATTAGGTGCAGTTTTCCAAATCAATACCCAAGAATTATCCAAGTTCCAAGAAATCTTTGCTACTAACGGTATTTCAAATGAATACATCAAGGTCATTGGTAAACCAAACTTCCAATCTCAAGTCATCAATGTTGCAGTTAATGATCAACAAATATATCAATCCACTCGTGGTGAATTACAAAAAGTTTGGAGTAATACCTCCTATCATATCCAAAAGATGAGAGATAATCCACAAACTTCTACTCAAGAATATGAAGCTATTCAAGATGATCAAGATCCAGGTTTGTCTTATCAATTAACCTACAATGTCGCTGAAGCCAAATCATTTACCAAACAACCAAAAGTTGCAATTTTAAGAGAACAAGGTGTTAACTCTCAACAAGAAATGGCTTGGTCATTCCAACAAGCCGGATTTGATGTCTATGATGTCACCATGACTGATATCTTAGATGGTAGAGTTACTTTGGATGATTTTGTCGGATTAGCAGCTTGTGGTGGGTTCTCATATGGTGATGTATTAGGTGCTGGTGCCGGATGGGCTAAATCAGTCTTATTCCATGAAAAAGCCCGTAATGAATTCAAGAGATTTTTCCAAGATAGAACTGATACCTTTGCATTTGGTGCATGTAATGGATGTCAATTTTTCAGTAGAATTGCCGAATTGATCCCAGGTACTGAGCATTGGCCAACATTTGAACGTAATTTGTCTGAACAATATGAAGCTAGATTTGTGATGGTTGAAGTTAAGGATGTTGCTGAAAATAATTCTATTTTCTTACAAAAGATGAAAGGATCAAAATTCCCAATTGCTGTCGCTCATGGTGAAGGTAGAGCACAATTCAGATCAGCTGACTCCAAACAAAAATTCTCCAGTACTGTTATTCAATATGTTGATAATTATGGTAATGTTACTGAACAATATCCATTCAATCCAAATGGTTCTCCAAATGGTATTGCTGGTATTTGTAATGATAATGGTAGAGTATTAGCTATGATGCCACATCCTGAAAGAGTTACCAGAAAGGAATCTAATTCTTGGTACCCTGTTGAACAAGGTAACCAATGGGGTCCATATGGTCCTTGGATTCAATTATTCAGATCTGCTAGAGAATGGGTTGGTGATGACTTCTAAGCTTAGCATGTAATTAGTGTGGATCTTTTCTTTTGTTTTATGTTGTATAGTATTTTTTAAAAAAATTGATAAATTGTATAGTTTTAAAAAGTTGTATTCTTGAATTATATTTAATTATTACTTTGAAATGGCTGCAAATTGGTTAAGCCGCGCCACAAAATCTTGATTATGTAATCAAAATTCTCCAAGAGAAGAGATGGTCGTGTAAAAACTCATTTTTGTTAGTGAAAATTTTTCAAAATTTTTTTTCTGTTCATTTCCACACTACTGAAAAATTTACGTCAATAAAATTTTTTCAATATTTACAAACCTCTTTCTTTTCTTTCTTTCCTTCCTTAACAAATCATATAATAACAAAAATGGTTAACGCTATCTTATCTAAGAAAAAGAAGTTGGTCGCTGACGGTGTCTTCTACGCTGAATTAAACGAATTCTTCACCAGAGAATTAGCTGAACAAGGTTATGCTGGTGTTGAAGTCAGAAAGACTCCATCCAAATTAGAAATCATTGTTAAGGCTTCTAACACCCAAGGTGTTTTAGGTGAACAAGGTAGAAGAATCCACGAATTAACTTCTTTAATCACCAAGAGATTCAAATTATCTCAAGATGGTATTGCCATTTTCGCTGAACGTGTTGAAGAAAGAGGTCTTTCTGCTGCCGTTCAAGCTGAAGGTTTAAAGGCTAAGTTATTAAACGGTTTACCAATCAGAAGAGCCGCTTACGGTGTCTTAAGATTCGCTATGGGTGCCGGTGCTAAGGGTGTTGAAGTTGTTATTTCTGGTAAATTAAGAGCTGCTAGAGCCAAGTCTCAAAAGTATGCTGATGGTTTCATGATCCACTCTGGTCAACCAACTAACGACTTCATTGACATTGCTATCAGACACGTCTTAATGAGACAAGGTGTCTTAGGTATCAAGGTTAAGATTATGAAGGATCCAGCTGCCAACAAGGTCGGTCCAAAATCCTTACCAGATGCTGTTAAGATTGCTGAAGCCAAGGATGAAAATGAAATCATCCCAGCTCCAACTGTTAAGTCTTACAAGAAGAAGGAAGAAGAAGAAGAAGTTGCTGCTGAAGCTGTTGAAGAAGCTGCTGAATAAATTTAAGGGTTTTCTTAGTAATATTATATATAAAGTTCTTATTTAAAATTTAATTTCACAGTATCATCTGCTTTAATATTGTTTGGCCAATACAGACCTTGTTAGGTTCGTAGATGTATTTCCCATTCTCTGTCATATTTATTTGTATGGCTCTGGGCTTTTATCCCATTTTCCCATACAAATTTAAACCCAGAAAAAAAAAAGATCTTGGATTGATTGATTGATTGCTAATCTATTGAACCAAGGGGTAAATGTTATATAGTAATTATATACTTCTTGAAAGGAAGTCACAGAAGTCAGGTAGTTCATTATTTGACAAACTGCGAATGCTAACAACCTGCAATTCCACTTCTTCCACAATCACTACCAATGATGATGTATCTACTACCCCACAATTTGATACCCTCAGCAATTCAACTGAATCAATTGATATTCTTCCAGATGAACTCAAATTGGAAATCCTCAAGAACCTACTGCAGTATGAATACGTCAACTTGTTGCGAGTGAGCAAGTCGTGGCATAGGCTTGTATTCCCTTTACTTTATGATCATATCATAATTGATGCCAATTTTAGTACATTTAACAATATATGTCCCTTAATTGGTCGAAGCTATCTTCATAGTTCATATAACGTGAAACTGTTTATCAAAACCATAAACACCATGAAACAAGTACCACGAATTACGAAATTCGATGTTGTTGATCTTCCATATTCATTGGGAATTCAGGATGAATCAACTCGAATATTTGTCAAGTTATTTCAGAAATTAACAGATTTAAACGAATTGGTTTGGTTAGATGACAATTTCAGGTTTGAATTCTTGATTAATCTACCGAATAAACCTAAGGTTAATACTTTGATATTAAATATTACTCATGATACATATCTGAATGCGAAGTTTTGTGAATCTAAGAAATTGAATTTTACTAATCTCAAGAATTTTCAAATTATACCGTTTATGGATTGTGATCGATTGCTTAAAATAATCAATAATATGGTGATTAATGTGAATGATCCAAAAGTTATTGGACAAAATTTGGAATCGTTGGTATTATCAGGGACAATAAAGCATGATGTTTCATATAATCAGATAATAGAGAATACAATAAATGTATTTAATAAAAGCAAGATAACTTATTTGGATAATCTATCGGTCTTATCTTTGGAAAATTTAAGAATAATGGAAGATGATGCCAATACATTAATCAAATCAATTAATCTAAAACACCTAAAAACATTGCATTTACAAGGAATATTAGGAGTCACAGACTCAACCTTCTTCGAAACAATCACACCCTATCTAACAAACCTCCAAATCCTATCCGTTCACATCACCGAATCTGAATCCCGAAAAGTTCTTGAATTCATATCCGATCTCCCAACTCGGTTACAAGAACTCGATGTAACTCTATTCGCATCCACTTTCCACCACATGGAAACCTACATCAACCCTATCATCCGCCACAACACCCTATCTAAACTATCACTCGAAATGTATGAAAACACAATGATAGGCTCATTCTTAGCCAGTCAAATTCTGCCCAGCTTCCATAATAAACTATCCCTAGCCCTTCCTGGCCTCAGACTGCTCCGCATCAATCGATCAAACGATCTACCAAGACTAGTGAAAAACCTACCCCATCTAGTCTTTCTCGATGTATTATGTCCTCATCCACTCCTGGTGGTGACATATGGTGGAAGGGAACACTTGGGACAAGCGTGGGCGGAGTGTGGTGGGTCTGTATTGAGATATATTAGGATCTATGGGATTATTTTCGAACATAGAGAGAATGACGAGGATGGGAATGTGACGACTATGAAGGGAGTGGAGAGATGGTTTGATGCGAATGTGAGATGTTGTCCTTTTAGTAGGGGTGGGATTGCCAATTAGTAATTAGTTTATAGAGAGAATAAGTAGGTGTAGTGATCTTTATGTGTAGGTGTAGTTGAGTTGTTACCAATATAGCACTTGGACTAAGTTTCCCCCCAGCAACGACACTTTGCAAAGCAAGTCGTGAGTAACAATAGAAAGTGCACAGCCTTAAAACCGTCTGATACACAACTCTCAGCCACCTAAGATGAATCTGTTTCAGTGAACAATGAAAACAATTACTATGACTCTGGGTTGCGGGTGATGTAACAGTGGAGAAATGGCACAATGCTTGCTACATTTACGTAACTGAACTTTTTGTCATCACCGAATGAACCTTGTGTAACACGAGAACAATGATGGAGTACTGTTTTTTATTCAAGATTGTCCAACCGCTACAATTTCGTTTTCGTACCAAAGTCCGCTATTTTACAAAATTACGCTTTCGTAAAATTTCACCATCTAGTGATGTTCACAAGGCAGTTCTGAGAAAGACTTGTTAGCGTGTGTATATGGAATTCCAGAGAGATTCTTCCATTAGGATGAACTATAGATTGGACAGAGTAAGAGACTGTGGCCATTCGCTGACATCAGAGGAAATTGGAATTGATTGTCACTTTGATAAAGAAATTATTGTAACATTGTATTGAAAAAAATTGCAATAATGTTGCATACCAAAAAAAAACATGTGAAAACAATGACTAATCAATCATGTCAGCCGCATAATTAAAAAACAACTAAAACCTATAAAATGACGTCAATGAATGTCATGCGGTATTCTTTGGATTAATGGAAGGAAGATATTCAACGTTCATAACTGTTTGGGAGGGAGTCATTTTGTGATTCTTCGGCTTCAGAAATGGCTGCAAAAAAAGGATCTGGAGTGTATCCAACTCAAACAAAAAAGACTACATAAGTCATCATTCTATAACTAGGGTCGTACTTGCGAGAGCTTAATATCAATGGCAAAGAATCAGGAAAATAAACCGGGATAATGAACACCCTGTTCAAGAAAGTTCAGTAAACGCGATATAGAATATTGAAACCGAAAGGATTGTTGAATAGATTCATTATAGCTCCCGAGTTTGTTCTTGAAATCGTCAGTCACATATTTCTCTAGCTCTGATATCTCCAATTCATATAATGATCAGACGGATTAGAAATGACGGAAATAGAGAGATGAGAGGCTCTCGCTAATGTCATCTTCACTCAATAATTGTGATTCTCTTTCCAATCGAACTCTTGCTAATTCCTCGTGTAACCTTTTTAAGTAGAGTTTTGGAAGCTTTGGTCATATTCGCAAACTGTTCTTGGAATGGTGATTTGGGCTAATCTATGTTTGAAATTAGATTTATGAGGTACTATGTTGATCGACTAATTGAACTAGCCTTCACGTGGAGCCCAGATCCAGACCAAAAGTTATCATATTGTTAATAATTGTGACTACTTTCAAGTTTGTCAATTTCTGGACCGGCAATAGACGGTTTTATCATGTACGGCATCTCATCTCTGAGAAAGGGCACATAATTAATACCAAGCACATGTAAACGAAGAATCCTAATCAGTGCTTCCCCAACTAATCAAGCTTTCTAGAAGAATATGAAACTTTCATCTTCTATTCAAAAGCCGAAGTAGTTTCCCCACTGTTCAGAATTTTCATTCATACTTTAAGTCAATATACATTTCGTTACTCCAAAAAATCAGAAAATTCTATGTAAGGGTTCTTAATTAGAGTTTGTAATAATCAGCTGAGAAAAATAGGCTTTGGTTACGTAACACTCAACTGATCGGGGTATATCAATAATTAAGTGGGGTATAAAGATCAAATCAGTTGTTATTGTCGAGGTGATTCAGAATCATCTATGATTTCTATTGTTAGTATTGGAATATGGAAGCGAAGGAAGGTAAAGCGTTTTTTCTATCTACACGTAACAAATTAGAATTGGCTATAGATTAGAAATTCGTACATGTGAATTACAACACAATAGTAATTTTTACAATCTTGAAACTTATTGTTTCTTATGAGCCCACGGCACAAAAGGGTTTTTGTAATGTTTTTTAGATGATTCAAATGATTAATTAGAAACCACAAGACATTCTTCCGGATAATTTTTTCACAGCCTGATGGTTTGTATGGTTAGGAATGACTAATAAGTTATTACAAACCATAAAATAAAATAAAAACTATAAATTAAAAGTACACGTGAGCATACAAATTGAAAATGGGAGTTGAACGCGTAGCAGTGGCTTTCTTAGAATTACAAAGAAGATTCTGAAAAAACGTCTGATCAGCAGAGAAATGGAACTTATGGGAAATACAAACAAAGGGGGGGAAGAACTCACGGTGATTAACGTCCGATACTTTCTGTAAATTATTATGACACAAAAATAGATTTAAAATTTTGCGAACAAAAAACAATAAAAATAATTTTCGGACTTGTTTCCTAAAATTGATTTGAGCCTTTTTTTTATCGGATAATTGGAAGAAAAAAAAGAAGTCATCAATTCTTTCAATCGATAACATCCTTTAATCCTGATGACCGGGTTTAACTCTTTTTGCGTAATTGGCGCAATGTTTAAAAGTAAGGTTCTAAGAAAAAGTGGGGCCCGGTTTATCCTATTAAAACAAATAATTCAAGACCATTCGCATGATGTACTTGAAATTGACATTGTGGTCACGATTAACAAAGTAAAAGTCATCGTGTTCATTTTGTTTGTCCCTTTGTCATAGTGCTAATTTTTGATTGACCGATAAGAAAAATTTCGGCGATGATGAGATCATCAATATTTTTTAATTGTCTTTTTTTAATATTGTGGTTGCAGATTAATTTTTATAAACTTCGGTGACCTACATGCAGGATTAGTCATAATGAATCTTATCATTTATTATTGAAGTATGGATGTTCCTTATTATTTTATTCGGAGTCCCCTCAATCTTTTTTTGTTTGTGGTTTTTTAACCGTTTTACATTTTCATTGTATTATTCGGAAGTTAATCACCTTCCAGAAAAATTTAACTGCAAAAATTTTCAGTATCTACACCCTCCTATTTTAATTTAGAAAGTATATAAATATCATTTAAGATCCTCTTTACTTTTCCATCAAATCTGTTCTTTTCTATTCTTTTCTTTACTTTAGTTTCAAGAAACACAGATTATACTTATAACAAATAACTTACACACAACAATGAACCAAATGAACTTTTTACCATTAGCTACTGAACACCATGATGCATTTGTGATTCCAAATGTTTCACCAGTTTCTTCTCCATTATTAAGAGCAAAACAAAGAAGAGATTCTATGCCAATTATGGGTACTGATAAATTAACTCCATTACCTTTAGAAGAAGATGTCTATGAAGATGATGTTGTATTGATTTCTACTGGAACTATGCCACAAATTGCTTTAAATGAATAAGGATAAAAGCTACAATCAACTTGTCATTCATTTCATTAGTCATATACTATACACACACATTTGTATATATACATAAAGGGTTGTTGGTTATTTCCATTCATTAATTTGGGTGTCCTACTGCATTTTATTTGGTTTGTCTTTTTATTGTTTATTATTATTATTATTAATTTTGGGTTTTATTATCATGAGAGAAGATTTTCAATTCTATAGGTTTTCTTGTATTTTATTCAAATAGCTTTTTATATTTAGAAAAATAGAAAAAAAGGAAGATTATTTGATTTAATAGTTTTTTACTGTAGCATTGATTTCGTAGGAAAAAGTTGGCCTTTTGTCATAATTACTTCATTGTCTTGTAATTATACAATAATGACTGCAATGAAGCAATCTCGTGCGATCTCGAGTAAGATGAGGTTAGTCTTGGCGTATTTTTAGACCTACCCTTGGTCTGAACTATTTTTTGCTGGGTGAGCCAGTCGTACCGGCACTACCAAGTACTTTCTACGTTTGAAGGCTATGAGTGGAAAGAACGGATTTTTTTACCCACAACAGATGACACCCTATACTTTTCATAGCCCGTAGATAACTTTCATCGGGTTTAAGGTTGATATACGACTTGCTTAGAACTGCCCCCAGTCTCTCTATGCAGTACTCCTCCCATGTGGGACATGAAGTAGTTTCCCTTTTTGCTAGTAGTGCGAACTTTCCTAGAATTGTATTTTACGGTAAGAAGATCCCCTGTTCGGTTTGGATGCTTCTCTTAATAAAAGGATTATTCACTAATGCAGAATGCTATTCCTATCCAACTCCATACGTAGACCTCCGGAAGGGACTCCATATGAGGTGAAAGGGCACATAACTCGAGACCTAAACGCTATTTAGGCAGGAGTCAACAAGACATTCCTAGACATGTGTAACACCAAGATGGAATACAAATTCTATGTCCTATTCAATATTACATAGTTGAGATGACGCACCCTAGCTTGTATTATGGTTGAAGGAGATTTATTCTTTATAGTACCATTGGCCAAGTACAGACCCAATAGATAAAACTTCAGTACTGCATACAAGTCCTTTTTTTTTCAGGAGGAGATTTTTTTCCACCAATTTCCGACTTCCTTAGAAATTCAAAACCCTTTTTACAACTCCCTCCTCTTCTCTCTTACAACTTCATCAATTGTTGAATCAATACATATATAACCACAACAAAAAAGCTATTCAAAATGGGTATGGATCATCCTGCATTAACATTATCCGGTCTCTGTGCCGTTGGGGGGATAATGGGATACACCAAAAAAGGCTCCTTCCCATCCCTAGTTGCTGGTTTAACATTTTCAGCCATTTATGGAACTGCGGGATATTTATTAAGACAAAATGCTGATTATGGATTAGAATTGGCCCTTGGAGCAAGTACTGTTTTGTTCGCTACCGGTTTGGCAAGAGCCATACCTGTGAATTTTAAGAAACCGGTTCCTAATGTATTGTTTGTTTTGGGTGGGGTTTCTGCTGGATATTATTTGAAGAAGTATAATGATTTTTATAGTATTTTTTAAGTGAATCTGGTTGGAGACTTGTAGATAGGATTTAGTAGTATGGTATAGAAATATATTGTATGGCTTTTTATGAGAGTAAATTGTAGTAGCTGTTGCAATTTTAGGGAATTCGGGTGGTTTTGGAAATAATTTATCTAATTGGAAAAGAAGGTACATATCATCCTCACACAGAACTTTTAAAGTATACATTTTACCTATATATCCAAGAGGTCTGATAGACAATAAGGAGCTTCGATATATGAGTAAGGATGTATATTTTAAAGGTTCAGCGTGAGTATGGTCATTTGCAAACAGCATAATATCCCATCTCTTCTTTTCTTAGACCTAAAAACGGATGATCACAAAACA